CTCATAATCTTAGTAGATAACGTATTGGATTTTGAAATGAATGATAATGGGTTCAAGTCTCTGTGTATTTGTTTGGTCAATCAAGTTGATTTGAATTAAGTATGTGAATAACAGATAAAGGAATTGATATATGGTTACTTTATACAAACATGCTTCTGAAAATAATTCTTGGACTAATGGAAACTTATTTTTAAAGAAACAAGTAAAGTTATACAAGCATCTAGAGAGTTAATCGGAACCACTTACTGTTATGTAATGTTAAAATCGATACCAGTTTTTGTTATTATATATTATTGAGCAAATTATTCACATCAAATATTTTGGTGGAGTCTTGTTCTCTGAGCTGGATGGTTTGGTCGTGGAGCTTTCATCGTCCTTCTGAACGACATCATCAGCACAAACTTCAAATAGAAGTCATTCATTCACTTCTATTGATTTATCTGGATCCTAGTCTTAATGTTCATATTGAAACTAAAAGCCAGTAGATTTCGTTTAAAACACTCAACTCATTATCAGCTGAGATCAGATAGTTATTAGTATACTGAAGTGGTATGATGGTTATATCATTATTAGAAAAGGTTTTAAGCGAAATGTACTAGATACAAGTCCCAATGTATACACCATCAATGTTATTTATTTATTTGAACACATAAATATTGGTACAAGAGGGTACCAAATATATATGCGTCACACAAACCAATGAGAATTTGAAGAGAAGAAGGTAAAAAAAGAAAAGGTAAGGAGCGTTAGTAAAAAAAGAACAATAACGAACAGATTAGTGTAAGGTAGTGTAATAATAAAAAAATAATGGGGGAAAACAGAAACGTATAATCAGAAGAGATCTTTCAGTTAAGGAAGATACAACCACGTTTTATGAAGAAAGTAAAAGAAGGTTACAGCAGGATCACCCATAACTTCTATTCTGAGCCATATCTGATAACGTCTCTAGCCACTGTGTAGCACCATCCCTAGGACCCCAACCAGGGAGTCGTGAAGGACCAACACAGGCCAGCCCTTTGAAGCTTTCTTTCATACCACGACACCATGTCATGCACTGACCACCTCTCCGCTTCTTCCAACCAGTCCCAGAGTCGGCAAATAATGCACGACGTGGAATTCTCTGGGACGACATTCGGAGAACATGTCCAAGCCACCGAAGTCGGCGTTTCAAGATGGTGACACCAATTGAATTATCATCTCTGTGCCCGAACACACAATGCCGAACCTCTGCATTACTAACATGGTGTTGCCACTGGATGTGAGCAATCCTTCGGAGACAGCGATGATCGAACACAGAGAGTCGTCTAACATCCCCAACTCGGAGGCCAGGTTTTCTTAGGGGGCCACACCCCGAGCCTTTGACCTAAAGGTCTGACCCACAATGCAGTGGAGCATCGTGAGGAGATGCAGTCCCATGGTAGCCGGTGACCAACAATTAGTTCATACGCCATGTGTTCCCGCAGGATACTGAGGCTCATGTGCACCATTGATTTGGGATCCGGTTAAAGCGCCGGACATTCACTTTTCGTCCTCTCAATTTCATAAACAACACCCCCGCTACGAGAAGTCAGTGAGCAGGACTTCCCTGGCAGAGGCTGTATACGTGTGGCCGTGTGAGAGCATTTCGAGAGCGAAGGTGGGTGCACCCCACTCTCGGCCATACCAGGGCATTTAGGGAACAACATGAATGTGTGTATATACATTTAATAGGTATGCATTACATAGGATGAATTGGACATGTTGCATTACAAAATAGTTATAATGAATCAGTTCGTATGGAGTTTGGATATTACTGAAAAAAAGGTTGATCAAAATTCAATCCTGAATATTTACAATAGGACAATTCATTTTGATTATTAATGATATAATACGTCTTATTAGTTCCGTACTTTTCCCTCTTATAAAACATTACTGATTCATTTACGTTTTGTTATTCTATTTTACAATTTCTTTGATAAATAAAGACCTGCTGGTTGGGATAGTTTACATCGATTAGAATTATTCAAAAAAAATTTATCATCAAATTTAATTGATTGTAATTATAATCAGATTATTACGAAACCATCGAAATTAAGAAGAAAAACATCATGTGGTATGTTTTCTATTCATACTGTATTCATTAATCATGTAATTGATACTTGAGCACAGAAGTTATCCAGATTCATTTCCTCTATAATCCTCATTATTGTTAAACCACTTCAAAGTGATCACATTTTTTTCTTTAGTTTTAAATAGTACTATAACTAGTAATCGATCCACAGATGAAATTGGTCTAGTGGTTAAGTGCTCGCGCGCGAAACCAGTAGGTCCTGGGTTCGAGCCTCGCAGGGGGTGTGGTCGTGGATGCGCACTGCTGAGGAGTCTCACAATAGGACGAAACGGCCGTCCAGCGATTCTAGGTTTTCCATGGTGGTCTAGATTGAACTGACTCATGATCTTAACCATTGAAATTACTATAATATCCACAAAACCCATCTGGTAAAAAAATATGTCGGAAAGCTGTTGAACTATGAAAAACCTCTAGACACTTATATCGTTTTTGAAGTTTAAATGGGTTATTTAGTTACAAATTTGAAAGTATAATGTTGAATGGATACACTAACATCTTAGGAAACAACAAATTTAGCCGATTTAGTCTTTTTCGTCTTAAAATCCTGTGAAGTAATTCGTAGACATTACAATACTTGTCAAAATGTTTCATGTTTATTAAGAGTCATTAGGTAATTCTGTTTCAAATCGGAAGGACATCTAATGATCGACATTAAGAAGTCCGGGTCACGAAGTTATTTAGCCATTCGAAAAATATAAAATCCCTTGGACAGGTAGACATAACATTGGTCACTACTTCAAGATCATTCGATGTAAAATATACCAGTCGTACAGGAAATCACTTGTCAGTACCACATGTTCGAACCCTAATGGGAATTTTAGTTCGCTCGAGATTATAGACATATCTTGCCGATAAGCACCAATCAATACTAAATCTCAATCCAGAGACTCATACCGACTACCTTAAACTACATAACATCAGGATATATATAGACGCTTAATAACTGGAGACATCTTCAAGCTCATAAATGTATGCCAAACAGTTAGAGGGTAATTTAGAGATGTCCTATTACATAAAAAGTTATTTAAATAAAAAAAATTTTAATGAAGTGACATCTTTATTCTTTTGATACAGTTACAAAAACAGGTGGAATAGATACCAATCCTTCAGAAGAAGTGAATATTTTACAAACTGTTGAAGATGATCAACACTTTTTAAAACGAATGCAAACAATATTAGCTAATATGCCTATGTCGACAGTTACAAGTTCATTACCAGGTAGTTTAAGTGGTACAACGACATCGATTAGTTCAACAATAAGTAATCAAACAAGAGAAACTCCAGTAAGTTACAATAACATTTTAACTATTCGATTCTATTGTATAAAAATATTCGGTTATTAGAATGATTTAACAAAAAATCCTCAGAATTGATTTAATGCCATAAGAGCGTGTTTATTAAGCTAATTAAACAGATCTTATTGTTATTTTATTCTTATAACCTTCATAAATTATCACTCTATTCTTATTTCCACTGAAATAATGAGCCTACCAATGTTAGACCACCATTCAAAACCTAGAAGCATTAGATGGCCGTTTCGTTCCAGCATGGGACTTCTGAGTAGTGCGAATCCACGATCACACAAGAAGGAATAAAACCCAAAACATTAGGTATTGACAGCGAACGCTTGAGATCCAGACCAATCAACTGACACACAACGATGAAACTCCAATACTGTACTGACAATTATCATGTGTTCACTAATGACTAGATTCCAGAGGGAATACTCAGAGTTCTAGTGAGAAGCCGTGACCAGTGTAATTGACCTGTGTCAGTGGTGAGGCAGTTACTCACTGAAGACAATGGAAGATGGTTGCGCAATATCGGTATCGTCGACGCTCACTGTCGGGGAGTACGATATTTGAATGAAATGGCAGTCTGGTGCTTCTAAGTTTTAAATGGTGGTCATGAATTCAGTATTACACAAAGATTTCAACAAGCATACACTCATAATTATTCCCTTTTTAGTTAATAACTGAAAGTCTCTCATCCAATTTGCCTAATCAACCTAAACCTGGATCAACATCAGACAAAGAAGCCGTACTAAGTAGCTTTTTCAATTCTTTGCTTTCACGAAAAAGTTTAACTGAATCAAACCCAACTAAACCAATCCAATCGACAATGGGAATGACGTCGAATAAAATCAATACACTGAACACTTCATCAACACAAGATAGCGATGTAAGTTATTTTCCCACTTTTTTTCAAAACAACTAAATGTTCTACTGAATCATTCTCATAAATAGCTTCGACATCTTGATTAAACTTTCCCTTGGGTGTTTTATTTTGCTTTTTTTTTTTACCAGACCAAGTCATAGGACAGTGTTGAATAATTTTCGGAGAAAATGGGATAACTATGCGAATTTCATGTTAGGTCAACGGGGTTAAAAGGGTTATGGTTTCTTATTTTGGTTTCTATTATCAACTAAAAGTTACAATTGGCAATTGGATTTTAAAATATCATCGGCACATTTCAAGAAACTGTGATTTTTTTTTGCACATAACCGTTTATTACATTGACCTTAATTTCAAAATCGTAATTAATTCATAGTAATCTCATTATTGTTTTACCCATAAAATCTGTGCTTTTAGCATAAACCAAAGAATTGTCATGTTTTGGATACTGTAATTCAAAATTACAGTAGAGACAAGGCATGTAAACATATTTCATAAGGAACAATAAAATTTATGCTACCACTTATGATTAAACCTCAACAGTTTTACTATTAATGGATGAGATTGTTTGATTCAATGGAATACTTTGAGTAGGGGTTGATCATCATGCTTACTTCTACACAATTCACATTTTACGTAGAGATAATTTAATCAAATTAAAGTGAATGCAATAAACCGTCTTATTCTGCGAAGGGGTAGACAAAGTCACCTTCTTAACAAGATTCATTCTGAACATACCAATACCATTTTAGGACCTACAGATATATGTTAAGGAATATTTGGAAACATTAATGATACAAATATAAATAATGTTTATTGTATGAAGTTTATCAATGTCAAGTAGAGTATGCTTGAAAAGAAATCCTGGAACGGCTTACAATCCAAGACGTTGAATAATTAACTGAAATGTTAAAAACATGGTGATTCAGATAACTTGGTTGAAATAGTTTGATTAATTGACTTTGGATAAACAATACTTGAGCATTGATATTCAAACGTCGGCTGAATAAAATTACGTTTACAAAAATAACACCCCAATGATGATGATGATCAAAGCCATGTTTTTACTGATCATGATTGAGTATGTCACAAATCTAGTTTTAATGCACACACCAAACAATAAGCCGTTGGAACCGCAACAGTGTAAATATGTTTTCTTAAAATAAAATAAAAACAAGATCTATTTTATAAATGATGACTAGTGATTCAAAAAAGATTTAGATTAGGTCATGTTATTCTCCATGATGAAAATTCAATTTCAGTAACGTGTAGGCGCACATTTAAAAATCACATACAAGCAAATTATAAAGAATGAAAATGAACTTCAAAGTTTTTTTAAACAAGAAAAATGAAAAGAAAATCAAATTATATTGAAACAAAATCAATATTATTTCGACGAATAAACGTTTACTACTTATATTATGATTAAGTAGTCTATTTTTATATTCAAAAAAGGAAGAAATTAAGTATTCTCAAGCGCTGAAAAAGAATGTAGGAATGTGTTAAATTTGCCTGTTAAAAATTAATAAATAAAACAACTAATGCTACCCACAACAACAACAGTGTCATGTAAAACACTGAAAGGTATTAGATGAAAACGGAAGAAACAAGGCAAAAATAACCAAAGAAATCAAGTTAAAATAAAGCGTAAAAGCTTCAATAAAAAGTAATTTTTCTAGTCTCAATATTTAATGAAACATAATCAATGAATGTAACCAGTTCAAAGAAATGCTCCATAAGACAAACATCGTGAATAAATAAGAAAGTCGGCAAACTTATTTCTTTTCTCCTTCAGAAGAGTTCTATACTATTCGAATACAAAAACCGAAGATCGAAAAACAAAGAATATAAGCAGAGTAAATGCGTTTAACAAAGAAAAATGGGATAATTATGATCTATTTCATAACTGGGTGGTTTATAGTAAGGATGGAAAGAATCATTTTTGCAAAATGCTAACAAGAAAATGACACTTCAGGAAAACTGATTATGAAACTGTTTTTCTCCTCTATAATTTATCTTATACGGAAATCTTTGAAGATTGTTCATTGTCAGAGTTAATTGAATTTGCTGAAGATACTCTACTGCTACCACTATTACAACTGTTTGCCGACTCCTGACGCTTAATAGCTAGTTGACGTTCTAATTCGGCTAAAGCAGGTGGAAGAAGATTAACAGCATTTATACCATGACAAAACACACGAGCTGGTCGAACTAATAGACCATGACCAGGACGACATGTGAAATAACGTCGCCCAGCAACACATCCATCATGACGTCCACGTGGTTTACGCAATTCAATACCAAGCCAAATACCTTCAGCAAATGTAATTGGTCCAATGTATCGAACAATACCTATAAATTAAAGAGAATAAAAAGTTAGATGTTGTCCCTAAATAACCGGTAATCAACAATGAATTCATACGTCATTTGTTCCCGAGGCCCATATGAATGATTGGTTTGGAATTAGGGTTTTCCAACTCCCCCAGGTAGACCTTTCACACACACGAATGTGATTTAGGCGCAGGACATTCGATATTTCTCCTCTCGATTTCGTAAACAACACTCCCGACATGAGAAAGCAGTGGTTAGGACTTACCTGGCAATGACGATATAATCGTGGCCATATGAAAGGATTTCGAGAGGGAGAGTAAACACTCTCTATCCTGGTATTTAACATCCAATTTTCATATTATCACCAATGGACACAATATCATCTATATTAGTGAAATATGTTGAGGGATTTTCACACAGCAAAATTAAGATTGAGAAGTTAATACTAGACATAGATATAGAATGTTGAGTGTAATTAACAATAAGCATAATATTCATGATTCTTACTGATTATTCTCTTGTCACAAACAACATCGAACTCGACTTATTTAAGTACTAGTTCACATTTTCGCACGATATTAGCACAGAAAGATTATACTATGAAAATGCATGGGAGAGTAGTAGTAGATGTAATGACAATATTGATGATAGTAGAAAACATTAAGCATAGACAATATGATTCAAGAAAAACAAGTGTGAATGTCTGGAATAAAAAACGTGAAAAAATTCTCAAAGTCAAGATTTAAGCTGAAGAATGAATGTATCTCATCACCGTCATGATCGATTCTAGACATACCATTATCTGTGTGAATTTAAGACAGTATGTGATTATATCGCTCTTATTGCTTGGTACATCACTTCATTCAAAGAAGTTTTAAAAACAAATAAACAATAAATCAACTTACCAATTTCTCCAGCACATAAAACTTGCATTCCTTCTGTCAAATAAAACACTGGTTCTTCGACTGACTCAACTGGTACACGTCCAACAGCTTTCAATGCATTGACTAATTCTGTTGGTAGCGGTGGTCGACCAATTACAGCACGTCCAATCATTGGTGATGTGGTACTAGACCATGGTGTGCGACGACAACACCATGATTTACTTGCTACTCCATCAACTTGTTCTGAATGATATGATGTAGTCATCATTGTTGGATTATCCGATAGTTTATTTAAGTTTGGTGTATTTGGTCTTGTAGGCAATTTCTGTATACGACTAATCGGTGCAAATATTCCATGACCGACAGCACAATCAAAATAACGTATCCCATTGATAGAACCATTATTTTTACCAACAGCTTGTTCTAATTCAATACCATACCAGATACCTGGAGCAAATTGCGTTTGTCCGATAAAACGTAAAACACCTCTACGTTGACCAGCTACTAGTACACGATCTCCAATTTGAAAATGATGACTTCGACTGATATCCGGTGAACGAACTCGTAATCCTAAGATAATTATGAGATGTGATGGAAGAATTTAAGCAAATTATTACGTTATTTACAATTTGAGAAACTGGAAAGAACAAACTAAAATGTTGTATTGTTTCGACTTGTACAGTTGAAGTGCGTGACAAGTTAAAAACTGCTATATTGATGTCTATATAATTGATAATCCAATCGGAGAACTACCACAACTATCATCAAAAAGGTAGAAGTATTTATAAACACTTTTCTACGTAAGATACTGAATGTCCATTGGCCGGATACCATCAACAACAGCCTACTGTGAGACAGAACAAGCCAACTTCTGGCAGAAGAGGAAATTAGGAAGTGGATAGGACACATTGAGGAAATAATCAAACTACATCATGAGACAAGTCCTAACTTGCAATCCTGAAGATAAACGAAGCTGTACAATCGCAAATATATAGACTTATTTTAACAGGATGGTAATAATACCGATAATAAACTTCTGTTAGACATGGTGACAGGTGAGGTTAAATAAACAAAGGTATGAAAATATTTAAAACAAGGAAAGTTTAATAATCGTTTATTGTTATTGGCTTAAGTATTCATCAAAAAATAGATCGGGAAATTATCATTGGGAAAGGATGGCTCAGCATGATAAAATAAAATGTTGAAACAGAGATGAAATGTAATCGGAATGATTGGGGAAATAAAAAAAAACCCAGTTGGGGGTAGGAGATTTAAAGGGAAGACGGAAGGTGAGGCAGATGGCTGTAAAGGAACAAGAGTATGAAAAATAGAAAAAAATTTTAATACATTAAGACCATGGTAGAAAAAGAGATTGTACCAGTCTCTTTTGCACACACAATTCTGGTTTTTCCAGATGTATGGCTATTGCTTCAGCAATGCAGTGAAGATGCAGTCTAATCGTCTTAGGAAGACTTCCAATTACATTGTAGATGACTTTGAACGCAGAGTCTGTCTTGATTGAATGACCTGTATTCACAAGGTGTTTGATTATAGAACTTCTTATTGAGCCGTTGCCTCCTCTTTTTAACCTTATTTTATCCAAAAGAATTCAAGAACATTGTTCGGTGTGGCTTCCTTGTTTTAAATATTTTAATACCTTTATTTATATAACCCCACTGTCACCATGTATAACAGAAGTTTATTATCAGTATTATTATTATCTTGTAAAAATAGGTATATATATATACGATTGTACAGCTTTGAAAATGAATTCGCCGAAAAAAGGAGAACTCTTTACTGAGCTAATCTTTCTTATTTAATGTCTTAATAGGTGTATTCCGTTGAAGCCTTTATTATCAGCAAAATAAGATAGTACAAAGCCTTATTGAAATTTATTCAATAAAATATTATAATTAAGCAAAGATGGATAGCGGCTAGCAGTGGAATCCAGGACGCGCGCTTCGTCCTATTTGGGACTCGCCAGCTGGATGTACCTGCATCTCAGAGTTGATGTTCACTTTGGGACTCGAACCCAGTACCATTCGCTTCAAACGCCATCGGGTTATTCATTTACCTATTGAGTCCTGATAGCCACTTACTTGTGCAATGGGGTGAATTTAAATTCACTTAGTATTGTTTTGCTTGTATCTTCCCAGACTGATCAATTGCAGTCTCAAATCTCAATGGGAAGATACAAGCAAAACAATACCAAGTGAATATTATAATTAGTTGTATAAATCAATCATCTTTATAAGAACAACAAGTACAAAAAAAGTATTTGGGCGTATCAAAGCGATTCACCGTTAAATTCTTTATGTAATGACAATGATGTTGATGGTTCCAAGAAACACACAAACAAACATACAAATATGCATAAATTGTAAACTGTACTAAATGGGGTGGTTATTACCAAACCTGATATAAAATATTTATAACTATTTAATATGTATTACATATATGGTACGAAGTAGAATAAATAGGTGAGTACCTATGCCATTCAATTTGTTAAATGAAAGGAAACTTTTTCATTCATTGTTTTAAATCCCGTCATATCAAAGCATGGGCCGTCGACCGGGAATCAACAAAACTACTCTGTCCCAAGCACTTCATTCCAATTATTGTCAAGTGTTATTCATTCTTTTGATGTCTATCTCCAATTCTTAGCGTAATATGTACTTTGATCTTTCTTTTCTCTCATTACTTTCTGGATTCTAAGTTAGGGTTTGCTATTTACTCATAAGTGGTAGTACAATTCGATCATGTAGGATTTAACACTCTTTAGTGGTGTCATAGTTATCTATGAATTAATAAATATATACTGAATTGAAACAGCTATGAAATACCTTCTAATTTGTAATGGTTATTATGAGACTAAAACTAGTATATGTTGTGAATTATCATCAGGATGAGTTCTGTTATTGGAACTTTAATATTCAACCAGCTTCCAGCTGAAGAGGAAACTAGGAAAAGACGTTGGAACTGGATAGAAAATTGTTAGCGGGAAATAGACTAGATTAAAGCATGCTCAATGCATGATTGCTTTGGTGCACGCTGATTGGCTAATTCTTATCCAATCAGCGCTAGTCGATAGTCGGAGAATATTCTGGATTCTTCTTATGTAAAAACTATAAATATACCGACCTTTCCCCCTATTGTGCTTCCTACTGGCTTCTGACTTGCTATTTGGAATATAATCTTTTCCCTGTTCAACCGTGTTCTGATTTGGGGACTTGTCGAGTGAATCGGTGTCCGAGAATACTAAGCAATAGGAATAGCTGGGTCATTAACCGTAAGAAACAGAGTTATAACAAAAATACACTGCCATTTTGAACGGTCACATCGTAAAATGCCATTAATAGTACAATACATTAGAGACTAGGATTGAGATGAAAATTTCAGAGTTCTAGTTAGGAGTCGTGTTTAGTGGAGTCCAACCATGTTTGGTATGAGGAAGTCATCCACAAAAGACAATGGAAGAGAGTCATGTATTATTATGGATTGATAGATGTAAAACTTGTACACCATTGAATATCGGTTTGTTGGTCTATAGCCTAAGCATACGTACGTCAGATCGAAGATCCTCGGGCCCAACTTCCAGCTATGGTTATGAGGGCGTATTACTGAGTAGTATCATATGAGGAAAAATCGGATAACCAGCTCTTCATGGTTGTCAATGGTTGTTGTGATTTAAAATAAATATAATTAAGTAATGATACATAAAATTCATTTCTTATTAACTTTTCACTTACCAGTATCAATTTTTGCTGTAACATGTGAAAAATTACCAGGTGATTGTAAAGTTGACGGTGGTGTTGGTGTACGACTTAATTGTGATGGTACAGTTGTCGGATGTTTACGATGATCTATTAGTGAAGTATCTGTTGACACCGGTATTGATGTTATTGTTGTTGAACTAATCGTATAACTGGATCTTGATGAAGGTAAACGTTTTTTAGGTGTATTATTACCACTTGTACTACCACTACTATTACTACTACTACTATTACTACGATTGTCTTCTTTTAAATTATTCAACTTCTTAGAAGTAATTGATGTAGTCAATGAATTATTAGGACGTCTATTAACAATAGTAGAATTAGTAGTATTGGTAGATGAAGTAACTGGATGCCAATTTTGTTTACCATCAATATTTACAGTTTTATAAACTCGTCCAATTGGAGCAAATATACCATGTTGATTAGGGCAAGAGAAATATTGAATCTATGTATAGTGAATTCAAGAAAGAAAAAGGAGATATTTGATATAATTTTAGAACAAAACAAAATACGGAACTATGTGATTTGATTGAAATCATGAAACAGTTCTAAGTTAGACCACCACCATTGAAAAACTGGAAGCACTGGTGGTTTAACTTAGATCAGTTTATGATTTTAATGGAATTAAATAATTTCTATAGACCTACATTGAATATGTAATTCGATTGGTTGACATCTGTTGAATGATAGGAAGCAATTAATTTTCATGGAATAATAATCTAGATTGAGTCTTTTGAAAGATCCCAATTACTGATAGTGTAGTTATTTTGTATATGTGTAACAGTAAATTAGTGATTAAAGCAGAAACATACACTATATTTATATGTAAAAACTGAGCTAAGGAACCAAGCTAAATTAGATAACCATTGAAGATCTGAAAGCACTTAATGACCATTTAGCATTCGTACAGAAATATGTGTAATTTTGAACAAAACAAGAATTGAGCTACATAGTTTATTAAATAGGAAACAAAATCAAATCAAAAATCAGCCAATTGTATAGTACCTGGCCCCTAAATGCCCTGGTACGGCCGAGAGTGGGAAGAGTCAACTCTCCCTATCGAAATGGTCTCATATGAACACGTGCATACAACCACTACCGGAGAATTCCTACACACTGCCTTCTCGTGTCAGGGGCGTTGTTTCAAAATTGAGAGAACGAAAACCGAATGTCCGGCGCTTTAACAGGGTTGGTGGACACGAAGAGTCCACTTAGGGGAATTGGAAAACCCTGATTCTAAACCAAGTGTGTACATGGGATCTAGGATTCCAAGGGAACAAATGGCATATGAACCAATTATTAGTCATCGGCTACTATGGGAATGGATCTCTTCAAGTTTGCTCCACTGCCTTGTGGATCAGACCTTTAGGTCAAAGACTTTAGGTGTGGCCCACTAAAGAAACTACCTGCTTCGATTTGAGCACCCGGACAGTATTCTAGCCATCACAAAAATGAAACGGAATTTGTGTGGCGCATATCTATTTGGTGCCTTCTTGTACCTATGTTTATGTGTTTAAATAAGTAATAGTAAATGAATACCCACTAGGTTTAGCTAATTTAAACAACTTTTCATAAGTAAGATATTTGGCTCTTTTTGATCGACTTTACATTTCCATTTATAAACTGATCGCCAGGGAAGTAGCACTGATGCTTGGACCAGTTGGAAAAAGCGTAGACGTGGTCAGTGTATGACATGGTGTCATAGTATGAAAGAAAGTTGTACAGGATTAGCTTCTGTTGATCCTTCACGACTCCCTGGTTGTGATCCTACTGATAGTACGACACAGAGGCTAGACTTTATCAGACATGGCTCAGAATAGAAGCCAGTGACGATCTTGTTGTAATTTTCTTCATAAAAATGAACTTACCTCCTTTAACTGAAAGAAATGTCTTTGGTTATAATTTTTGCTAACTAAACTATTTCACGCTCATACACTAATTTCTTCTTCTTTACACTATACGTACTTTGCATTCTCCATCTCTTCACAACTTTATTGTTGTGTAGCGCATATATGTTTGATGTCCCCTTGTACCAGTGTTTGTGTTCAAATAAATAAATAATATAAATAAACTGAGACTAGGCTGACAAGAAATGATTTTAAAGGGTGAAACAAGGAGATAACTGAAATGATCAGATGTATTCACTCTTTGATTCGTTTTTACTCTTGAGTTTGAAAATGATCTTCTACACTATTTAGTCCACACATTCATTGTCTACGTTCGGTTTAAAATCTCCCAAAAAACGATTTTCAGGATGTTTTCACTGATTCAGTGAAAATATTTTCGACACTCACTGGTAGTGTGATGTATGCTACTGATGTCTACAGATATAAGTAGTGTGTATCATCAATGGAAAGTGAAATGTCTGGCGACAGAATATCAAGGAAAAGAGAACGAGAACAAGGAGTGATTGGTGCGGAAGCGAAATAACAATGAAGTCTGAGACGATTGGCTGATAATTGCAAAAGAAACAGTCAAGTCGGAGACAATTGACTGACAATTTGCAAATTAAGTATTTACTGTATGATTCCCAGCTTTTACTAAGATATTCTGTAATGTTGTGTTGCAACATATTTCACTGTCCCCACTTGTGTTCACATTCACTACAGTAGTATTCAATGTTCAAAAACATTTTGATGTATTTTTTTAAAAACAGAAACCAAGTGAACATTAGAAAAAAGAAGAAAACACTCACTCCTGCTACACTACCATTATTTCTACCAACTGGTTCATCTAACTCCACACCAACCCATATACCGGAACCAAATGAAACTGATCCACAATAACGTAGTTTACCAATTCTACCAGAAACGCCTGTCGTTGTTAACGGTGACTGACTTTTACCACTGATCGGTATAGCTGATGATGATGGTGTGGAATTACCTGGTGCAATACAAACACGATCGCCTAAAGCTAAACCCATAGATTGTAGAGTGACTTTTGCAGAGACGGTAAATTTCTTTGATTGACTTGTTGTAGGACTTTTCGTATCATTATTAATATTTGGTTGTTGTTGAATATTGGTTGGTGAACGTTTAGTACGAGGTGATAAAAAACCAGATTCAGCTGTGTGCATGGATTATAACCAATAAACAGGAAATATGATATCTCATTTCAAATAACTATTGTCAATCGTTTTATTATGAGAAACAAGATTTACATAAGCGGATTTTCACAAAATACCTTTGATTACTGCAATACGATTATTCATTACAGACTGACTGGGATAGACTGGAATATTATAGGAAAACAATCCAGTGCAACATGGTTGTTGTTTCATTCTATTTTCCGACTCTTGAAAACAAAGTGGAGTCATAACGATTCCTCAAGTCTTAAAATAAAGACGGGACATTTATATCAGGTGCAGAAAAATAATTCTTAGACTGTTGTCTACTTCTTAAGATAGTAGAAATTATAGTTAGTTAAGTCGTAGTGTCAACTCAATTTTTTCGCAGACCATTCACTCTTGATAACAGAATACAACCTCGCTGAAATACGAGCAGGAGTGTATCTATGTACCTTTTTCAGTCAGTCAGAATCAGGAAAAAATCGAGTAACGTTTTGATCAAGTCGACTGTTCTCATTGTTCTTCTCTAAGCTTTCCAAACTATCAGGTCAATGATACAATAGTTTTTTCTCTGCCCCCAAGGTCGTTCAGTAATAATCGAACTCGCGTATTTGTCCGTCTCAAATCTAGATCGAGTAGCCTACCGTACCAAAACCGCAAACTAAATTGAGACAATTTTTAGATGAAACCTGCCAAATTTTCGTGTCAGTAAATCCAGTCATATCCTCAAAATCTTCTGAAGAAACACATCACCAAACAAACAACTTGCTAAGAAGGCATCATAACAACATTGGTTTCGTGAAGCATGGGAATTCTTGAAAATATACCCGTTTAAAAATGACAAGTGCCACCACCATCATGCGATTAGCCAAAATGGTCATTAACTATCAAAGACATACCAGCCAAATTTTAGCAGCGTTCACAAAACAAGTCAAAAGTAACTCGTAAGGATTATTTTCAGAGTACTAGGAAGTATGTTGACATAAAAGTGAATGGAAAACTTGTTTGTCTTTAGTTAGATACACCATACGACATTAAAATGATTTCCAACCAACAAGTAGTGCTTGTTATAATGCCCAGACACTCAAATCATCCATGATGATATAAAACAGAAGGAAGAAAGTATTAATTGTTAGTATGAATTAGCAAGGTACCTTTTTAGCAAAAATACCTTTTTCCAACCAGATCGACAAGTAAATCTTCCTGTATTGGTAGTAGAAAAGTATGGTCTCTTAGAGAATTATTCAGACTAGTGAAGAAGTAAACACAGATGTGAACAGATAGTAGGACAAGCATTTACAGTGATCCCTATGTTATGTCTCTCAAATCGCGTTGATCTGATTAGAGGTTTTCTGATGTTACGTGAGAAATTTTGTTACAAAGGGATGTTTTTTCTTTGTAAACTAATTTGCAGTTTTCACGAACGACGAAGTACTTCATATTTTTTGGCTTTTTCTGTGAATGGGAAACTATTTACTTTTATCAAGAATGAACCTCTTTTCTAATATTACGACATCGGGGACGTATATTGCGTTTGAAGTGCTGTTGTTACATAGTATATGTAAGTAAATAATAGATACTTCGTTCACCGTCTAACCGACTATAGATAAGATACACTTAACGTATAAATAAGTAGAAATTTTTAGTCAGTGACTAGAAACTTTGACTCACTTAGTACAGGATAGTTCATAATGATCCACAACACTCTCACTTTTCATCTTACTCCCTCGATCTTCAGGTTCAGAATTCTTTCATAAACACTTTCCCGATACGTGTTTGGTTTTTCTAACAGTATTTTCTAAATTTAGTCTCACTTTTTATCATCGTTAATACATTTCTAATGTACATCTGTCCTAAGCTTCATTTTAAAGATCCCCGTTTGTCTGCAATTTCAGTAGAATTCACTGAATAGACGATAATTTACTATAATATAATATCATTAAATCTCCGAGACTGCAGCTTAGAGATTAACACACTGACGTTTGAAACAAAAGAAGTTGGATTCCAGACTGTGTCAACATCAATTCTGAGAAGTACATACTTTCAGATGGTAAGTTCCAAGTAAGACAAAACCAACATCCTGGATCCTTACTGAAAGCCATAATCCATCTATACTAAGAGAATATCTATAACACAATGGCTGTATAGAGGTGATCTGCATAACATACATATATATGTCAGTGAAGTGAGATCGGAATTCAGTCTTGAATATCAACAACAGCATAATTTCAGCCATTACCAATTACGGTATGTATACAGGTTCTGTAGAGATTTACTATAATTTAACAATAATATCAACAAGAAAAATGTCAAAGATTTATCATAACTAAACAGGTATTGAATTGTAGTTTCATACTTAACAGTACAGTGTGTATTCTTACAATCCACACATGAAATCAAACACAGGATATTCAACTTACAAAAAACAGAATTCAAAACTAGGCGACGTTTAAGAGAAACCATTTCTAACATTTTTCTCTTTTCCTATCATGATTATATTCGTTAGATTTCTTGCCATTAAAACCATAATAATATTTTCTTAAAACAATCAAATGTTATTCATGTCAGTACCATCTCTTCTTTCGGGGGGGGGGAAGGGAAGAAAGATGATATGGGAATTGTTTCTTATTATATTAAAGCAAAATACTTACCAACTAACCAATCAACTCCACTACATGTAGATTGTTGTGAATGAGAATTCTCAGTTGGTAAACTTTGATTATTCACATAATTGTTAGTAATATGTTCATTTCGATAATTTGTTGAATAATCATTTGAAGTGGCTTGAATAATTCTTTTTTCAATGTCAATATCATCCTAAAACAATAATAATAACAACAAGAACGAGGTCAATAATCTTAGATACTGTGTAGACATTAATTGAAATGTTTCATTATTGAACGTTATCTTATGAATTATACTTTGATGATCAATGTTCGCTGGTTTAAAATTAGGTGGTAGCAGTGCGCATCCACAAGGAGTCCCACAATAGGACGAAACAACCGTCCAGTGCTTCCAGGTTTTCCATGGTGGTCTAGCTTCAATTGACTTATGATCTCAACTGTTGAAATCAAGATAAAGCATCAATTCATAACGTTATCGGATGATTAATCTGAAATAGATTGATGAATCCAGACTAACTATTTGAGATCTGAACACGATATAAAATCATTTACAACGGTATAAATGTATCCCATTTTTACCTTGCTATTCATCATAAATTTTCAACGACTTCTTTTGGAGATACTAGATCCCCAAAAATCACTTGGTAAATGTCTTATTTTTGTAATTTTGTTTTAAAGTTTTAAATTCCCTATTTTTGCTAGAAAAAAAACGCCCATTTTTACCTTCAGATTGTGTTTTCCACTTGGAAGGACCTTCCTCTTTTAATACGCTATTTTGTGACGTTTCCCAAGGTCATTTTCATACTATATGTATACGCATGAGTTGTGTGCTTGTTTATTCATGCGTCCGGGGTGATTTGCGAATATACATTTCCCTCCGCTAAATCTGGTCATCTCCCTCTAGTTAACAGGGTTAAGAAGTAGTGGAATAATTTAGCTTCTCCTGTTTTTGAGTTGCTGACCTTGGTTCCATTCGCCGGTTTTAGGTGATATCGTAATTTCTTCAAACGTAGCATCCTCACAAACATACCTTCTCATTTATTCATTTTGATCAATGTGCGCAATGTTCAATCATTATCATTGATAATAAATTATTTTGATCTGTTTTGGAATTCAGCTTCTTTTATTTATTTTATTGTTCCAATTTACTACAATAAAGTTAAGCTGATAACTATACACCTTATTTCAGGTTCTAAGTTATTGATTACGGAATGATTGATTATGAATTATACGTATTAATTCTATAATCAAATGGTTACATCACAAGAGAACATTTCATATCTTATTTACTTACAATGAGTCAAGTGTATTTTACACCACATTTTTTAATTAGCTCATATAAATAAATAATAAACATGATAATGACTAGTCGGTATAAGTAAACATTATAATGTATTTATTATGTACGTAAAAGATCATGAGAATAATGTTCTGACTTGAGAACAATCCAGTCTTAATTGATTAGAAGAGAAGTAACGTGAACATGTAGTATGTATATATATATAAATGTATACTAACGTACAGTTTGTTGTGGAGATGTTGGACGAAGTAATTCAGCCAATAAATCTCGTAGTGTACACAAAGGTTCTGGAAGTTGACCTGAAGGCGGTAGACATTCTGAAATAATAATGATAATAATAATCGACATGGTGTGTGTTTTCCATAATGTGAATTAGAACAAACATATATTAGCGAACAATATTAAATTAGATCGTCATCAGGCTTTATTCTAATGCACAATGACTCTTTCAGCCAGATGAAGCCGATAGGCTCTTCTGGATAAAAGGCTTACATAGATAAACGACGCAAATACAAGGGTTCAATAGTTGTTTTTGCACATTTTTCTTGTCTTTGGTTTTATTACCTGTTTAGTGATTGCTGAACACCGGTGTACCACCTAGCAGTGAATGATTATTCCTTTTCTCGTAGGTAGGATTATTTATTTATTTATATTAACACATAGATATTGGTACAAGGAGGCACCAAATACATAGGCGCCACACAAGTCTCATTCGATATGAGTGAGGGCTGCGATACTCGACGTAAGGAGATGCAGTTCCATGGTAGCCGGTGATCAATGATTGGTTCATACGCCATTTGTTCTTTTAGGATACTGGAGCCCATGTGCACAATTGGTTTGGAATGACGGTTTTCCAACTCCCCTAGGTGAACTCTCCATGTCTACCAACTCTGTTGAAGCGCCGGACATTCGCTTTTCATCCTCTCAATTTCGTAAAAAACACCCCCACCACGAGAAGGCAGTGTGTAGGACTTCCCTGGCAGAGGCTATTTACGCGTGGCCACATGAGAGCATCTCGAGAGGGAGAGAGAACTCTCCCCACTCTCGACCGTACCAGGACATTTGGGGGCAGGTAGGATCTTTTAGCACAGTAATATTTATATTCATACAAGAAATTACTAAACCAATTAAGGCAGTTGATAAGTCAGTGACAACAGTGGAATAGACTACATAAATAAACATAATTAGTAAAGAGTACAAATCGGTAGTGTGAGATGACAGGTGTACCAGTTGTGATAAGAATAATAAAAGCTTGAATTCATGCTTCGTAATAGGAAGTAGGTCAATGACTTGAAAAATATAGATCTTGAAAGAACATTCATAAAATCCATGATTGGACAATGAAGCATGTACTTAGGAAAAAAAGTATGGGAGGGGGTAAAGAAAAATTAATGAACAAAGAGTATGGAAAATAAAATCGATTTGGCCAAGGAAGAGAAAAAGGTGTAACGAATTGCTTATGAATACAAAAATTTGGATAATTAGCTCGAATTTCCATAGCTTCTGCTATATGTAAGAGACGATATTGGACTCCATAAGGGGACCAAGTAGGAATACGATAAATCACTTTAAATGACCTATTTATGTCTACTACATGATCGCTATCGATCAAATATGATATAATAGAGCTGTGTATTATTTTGACGATACCCTTTCCCAACTACGAAGGAAGGCGTTCACTAATTCGTTGGCTCAGTTATCTGGTTGCGTGCTGAATATTAGCTTTCTTCACATGAGCAGGTGAATTCGTAGATATGCATAAGCGACTGAGGGATATCAGTTGGATAAGTTAATCACTATCCAATCAATAAAGTTTCGACTGTTAGATTTAATATCTTGGTGATTATATCAAGATCTGATTTAGAATATTACCTCTGACAGAACAGAAAGAAACATGAGTAATAACTAAAGTTGAACAGTAACGAGTTCGTATAAGGCAAATTCGTCAATGAAGTTGTGTAATTTCACTGATATAAGTAGCTGTACTACGTAGTCTCCGAAACAATTCAAGCTAAAATCATTATTCTTCTTTCGTTGAGACTACTAATCGTTAGTGGGAACAGCTACAAGAGTTTCAAATAAATATGCAAAACCTGTGTCAAAAATTCCTTTTTTCTTTCTCAGCTACGATTAATTCATTGAGAAAAACCACTATTTAAAAGTGAATTATCTTAAAATGTTAGGCAACTAGGAGGCAGCTAGTCACACGCATGAATTCCTCCCAAGATTGTAGTTACCACATACTAACAATGGTAAATAGCAAGAAACCTGGATCCAGTGCTTCCCACCAATTACTGCTAACCACAGTAATTCATTAATTTTACTGAGTTATCCTTTAAAAATAATAATATTACTTGACTGATTATTACAAGCAAAGAAGGACGGTGACCAGCAGTGGAATTCAGGACATGCGTTTCGTCCAATTCAGGACTCGTCAGCTGGATTTACCTGCATCCCACAGTTGATGTTCACTCAAATAGTAATTATAAAAAAATTGTATAAATAAAGAAAATCACAATTATCTCACCATATGGTGTACGTCCATAACCATCTTTTGCATCTTTAGCATCATATCGTTGTCCCGTTTTTGTAACAGAAAAATCAGCGGCTTGTATTAATATACGTGCAGTACCTAATGATAATTGACTAGCAGCTAAATGTAACGGTGTAGAATGATCAATCAAACATGTTCTAGCTGATATACATGCACCACGATTTATTAATAAATCAGCTAACAATGGACAGTCAAAATAAGCTGCATAATGTAACGGTGTCATATCAGTCCATTTACAACGAGCTTCGAGATTAGCACCTTCGTCTAATAAATAATTAGCAATACTTCAAAAGGAAACAAATAAATAGATAAAATTACAAGTAAACAAAAAAGAGAAAAAACTACAGAGATAATGGAGATAATATCATACTATCTGAATTAGACCAATACGTAGCTTTATCGACCGAACACAGATAACATCACAAAACCTGGAGGTCTTGATTTCAATTCTTAGTAAAGTCATGGATCTATACAGCTGAATCAATCTGTAACGAATAAAATCTACAATCTTAATCGCTGGAAATGAACCCCAACCGGGCTCGATGAACAAAGTGATTCGAGAAGATTAAATAGTTTTGGATAACGTAAGCTTTGACAGAAACAAGCATTTATTGAAGTTACCCAATTTCACATTAGTACATTTCAATTGTAGCTACTACCTTGACGCGGTAACCGGTCTTGCATATCGCAGTGATTCAATAAGGTAGTATGAGCTAGGACGTTTGCTTTTTAGGACCTATCATCCCAGACAGATCATCTGAAGAATAGTGAGGCCAGAAGGAGTAGCTTAAGGTCCAAAGAAGTCATACTGCCGAATTTACTAGAGTGCGACAGTAGATAACCAGCAACTGCAGCGACACTGCCTTCCCGCAACCAGAAGGGAAGATTAAAGGTTTGGACCTGAAAATACCACACTCCACCATGCCCCACGGATTCTCATAGCATAAAATAAGATCCTAAATGTACAGAGATAACACATCAAAAACTACTTTGAGTACCCAACTTCAAGCAGTTGTTACTTCGACTGTGTAGTCATGCTTACGGTTTGGCGAGACCAGTACTACTAATCCAGTTTGTTTTTCATGACGCACAAAAGGAAATATCCTTCCCAAGTATGTGCAAAATGAATGAATAAAGGAATTACAACTAAGATAGAAAAGACATCAACAATACATGATAATAGTATTAATATAGTTCATATCGATTAACATGAAGAAAATAGGTCGCTTATCGATTTTTCAACAAATCAGCTTACATTCATTAGTTTGTTTGGATTTAAGGAGTTTTAAGGGTATGTAGTTTATTCTTGGCCTTCGTTTATCTATTACAATGTGACAAAAATATGTGTACATACAAACTGATAGTTTGGTAATTGAATTAAATTATTTATCTCTATGAGTATTTATCATAGAGACAAATCAAAATTCAATATCATAATAATTGAAAAAGTAGTTTTATTGATAAACGGTTAAGTCTTATGATGATTTAAGAGTTGCTCTAAAATTCAATCGCAGTCAGAGAAGAATATGATGAAAGGTTTGAGGTGGAATAGCAGATCGTAGATGATGGACTGTGACACAAACTTAGGGATGTGGAAACCAGTCATTTTTTTGTCAATTAATACAGATCGAGGTCCCATTATAAATCGTTTTAATTACTCGAGAATAAACCACACTCTCTTCACATAAGACATGATAATACCGTTAACGTATCGAAGCCAAAATAATTTGTAGGATTTGGATTTGTGATCATGTGGTTGAAAATTGAAAGACTTAAGCAAAAACCCATTGCTTTGATCAAATTAAATAACAGTAATGTATTAGATGGTTAATGGAAATTATCAAGAAGCTCTGGATATATTATTTGCATTAGTTGGTACTCATCAATAAGAAAGATTTACAATCTAAAAGGAATAGATGCTTCCCGTAGGATAGGAACCTATGTGAGTACTAAGGAATACGCAAACATGATATTAGTTGTTACACAGATGTTAGTCAACATAAACATATGAAACCTAAAGTAAATTAGCAACGGTTGAAATAACTGCGTGGTCAAATCTCTGACTGTGCACGAGTTCGAACACATCAGTCCTCCGAAGATACGTCTTATGGACAAGCGCCAAGTCCAGTTGTCTCCAATGTTCATCTAACATGGAGACAAACGGTACACATGATGTTGAACCACTTCCACTGGAAACCAACTTGTTCTGTCTAAACTGATTGGACATAAAGACGAGACTAATATGATATGTTTAGGTTGCATTCGTCACAGATTGATCTCAGTTGGGGTACCAACGAATACCCGGGGGCATTGAATAAATGCTTGATCCAAATAGTGGACTACTTTGCAGTACGCGTCCACGACGTTACCAAGGATTGAACTTAGAACCTGCATGTTTCATGTCGAAAGCTTAAACATTAAAACCACTGTATTAGTGTCTAATAGCACACTTACAGCTTTAATTACGTTGCAATATATTGCGACAATCATCTAATACCATTGATGATAATTGTCTCACCCCTGACGTCTGAACATCAGTAGTGACGATATTTAAAGAGGTTCCGAGGGTACCCACTCTCAAGAAGTCACATACTAAAACGAAACAGACACTCAGTCTTCCCTTCAATTTAATGACAAGTCCACTGAGACATATGTAACGAATAATACTTATAAATTGAACTAATTCCCACAACAACCATTCAATTAAAATATAATTTTTGAGGATATTGGATGACATAATTAGTCCATTAATAACATAATATAAACAGGATTTACGTATGTTTTCAATGACACATAAAAACTTACCGACACGAAGCTTGTTCATCGCCTAATGCACCGGATTTTGCAGTAAAATGTAATAAAGTCATGTCACTTAAGCCGTCACGATCATCAACATGAGCACCACGTCTAAATATCTGTTGATGGAATTAAATAAAATTGAGTAAAGAAAAGAGACAAATATAGATGTGTGTGTGTGTGTGTGAAAGATACAAATAATCAAGACTGATTGATTTTATATTCATGACAAAATTATTTGATTACACAATACCATAACGGCTGACAGTGTGGATGAACAACAAAAAAGAAATGAGATAGTGATTCTGCAAAAAGATGATAGATCATATGCGTAAAATTGACTGCATTAATACCTTGCAAATTTATATTTACGCAATGGTTTTCGCCACTATTTGATTGATTGTTCTCACATTCAGTTTGCAATTTGCCCAAAGAACATGATTTGCTGCTAATACATACAAGAGTTATTCCTACTTGAAATCTAATATATTGACTATCAAGCTTTTTGGATTCCCGGATTACTATGTTTTTTATCGTATTCGTTATTATTATTACAGTGTTATGTGGCAAACCCTTAACCAGGTACACATAATTATAATTGACTTTCAGTCAGGGAGTCAGTCATAAGTGACGGGAAATGTGGACTTAAAGCCAAACTGTTAGTGTGAGAGCCAATGATATTACGCAATCCCCTGTATCAAAACAAATGGACCTACAGTTCGAAAAAATAGGAAACTCTGAACATGAGAAGAACTATTTGTCAGAGAAACTTATATTATCCAAGAAAAATATTTATTGAACTCAAATACAAGATGTAAATAGCGTATATTTGGGACCGCCAAGTGATTCCTGCGTTAACGATAAGATGCTAGGTAGGGATGAAGAACCAACTGATGAAGTGAAAAATCCTCATCAACTACGGTGGTTGAGACATGCGTTACGTATGGCAAACTATCGCCTACCTGAACGGACCATGCTGTTTGATATAGGAGTAGACTAAAGGAAAGCTAAGAACGGTCAAACCAACACATCCATGAAAACATTGACTATCGAAATGAGCTGTTTAGGAAGATGAAGACAGCCGAGTTGTGGTCCGCAAGATTATTGTAACCACTGGTAAGGGGCTCTGAATGACATGGCTAAAAATCGTTTGTAATGGCGCAGGTGCATTCACTCTATATCTTTCCCCGCACTCTGGGCTTCTGAATTCCTCAATTTTTTTAATTCCACTAGTATTCTTGAACCGCATCCTTGATACACACTATTTTCTGTTACTACCGATACTCATTACATCCGTTACTTTGGAATTTGCCCTGATAATTTCATTTTTCCGTGTTAATGGGGTATAGTGACTTGAAATGATGTTTCTAAGTATAGGTTCTACGTTGAAACTGACTGAAAAACAAATTTTATAGTCACTTATATATAATGAACGAAATTTATATATCAAGAAAACAGTAATCAATTTATCAACTTCACGTCCCTTCCCAACCAATCAATAAAATCCATCAATGAAACATACCTCTTCAACTATTGTAATTAATTGTAACTGTGCGTAAGGTGTCCATTGTCGTAAAATAGCAAATAATTGTGATATAGTTAAATTACTTGATGTCACTGACTCTTGACAATCTTCACACCACCATGGACCAACAGGCATTCGCATAACCCATGATCTTGATTCTTCTTCATCATCATGAATCATTTCTTCAGGTAGATGATTATTATTATCATTATTTACAGGTGATCCAGTCACTGAATCATATTCTTTTGACATTTCTTCATCCATAGCACGACAATTCTTTAACAATTAAAATGAACAAAGATAGGAATAGGAAAATTGACTGCAATTCAATAACAAGCATAAGGAGTTTGTGAAGATTGCTGAATATTACAGAAAACCAGAAGCACTGAAAAGCTTTCTTATTCTAGTATGGGACCCTGTAGTGTCGGTTATTATGTTAAGCCCATATACCTTATTCTAGCTTTCGGACAGACCATTCTACTTGAAGTACATTCTGACCTTGTTAATTATTCGCTTATCAACCTTGACTGTTTTTACGTGAACCACATATGTGTGTAACCTTATCCCATTCATCACGTATCTGAAGCTTAATTTCGTGTTGATTAAGGCTTGGTTAAATGGAGTTGGCTCATATATCCTCTTCGGTTCTCTGATATTTTGTCTGGATCAAAGACTCTATTAAATATAAGTATTCGTAATTCATTCTCGTATTTGATTTATTAAATTCCGTTGTTGACTAACCCCATTTAAGTAGTTTATTATATACGAGAATAGGCGACATATATATTTCGACATCAATCATTCATACGATCTACTTGGAGTCAGATCCCAGGCCACTAAACTCTACATCTGTGCAAATTTACAACCACATCAAAAATTGAAACCAGCACCTCTAGGTTTCGTAACGAGAGATTACATTTTAGGCCATTCAACAAAGCATTTTGTTCCCGTTAATGACTCAGAAATAGGATGTTTACGTATGCTATTGTGTTTGTATGTATGACTTTGTTCTCATAGAAATTACAAATAGGATATAACTAAGAGATAATTACAAACTTTTTAGTTCTGAAAATAGAACTATCTAATAGCATGTTGTGATATGAATAGATCAATGATAACAAACTCTGACACTAAGAGATTCGAATACGAAGGAGGAGATTAGCTATTCACCTAAGCTTGTAAATATGCCGTGTTCATGAGTGAGAACTAGTGTGAAACCTGTGACTAAGATTTTCTGTCGACTGGTATTATTAGCAGGGTAGAATCGGAAATGTTTCATGCGCAGATCAGGCACAAATCACAGTAGACTGATTAGTTAGCTTTAAAACAATTTATGTTAGTGTACGAACTGAAAAGATGATAAATTATCTAGTAAAAGCATACTTTAGGGATGAATCAATCAGAATCAAGAACGCTACCTTTGGGATTTTGTGAAAAACGTTCAGAATCAGAGCAAAAAATCATTTTTTGCAACCATAGAGTAAAGATGATAGTGTTAGATACATCAAATGCTTTATTTTGTCCTTTTCGATTGTACATAACAAATGACTTGAAAGTATCCTTAAATCCAAACCTTTGATCCTGAAACAAACGTAAACCTACTGGCACTAGATTCAATGAACGAACCAATGATATGGTCATTTAAGTTTTCCATCTATACTAGATTACTACATTGTGGCTGATGTTAGTTAGTGATGAAAATTCTAACCCTAAATTCGTAATCCCAACCATAACAAAAAAACAATGTGGAGATGCTGAAATATTTGTTTGAGCACTTTTGAGGATTCCAGAACATATGGGCAATCTACATCTATCTGTTACATCTAGAACATCAACAATGTACAAATTGAATCCTCCAAGCTGCAAGTTAGAAGACAGAAACGTGTCAATCTATTCTCAACTAATCTATCAGTCAATTGTAACACACAGATTCTTACATTATTCAAAGTGACGATTTAAATACAGTCACCGTACGAAGAGTTTAAACACATCCTACGTCTACTAAATCTGAACATGAAAAGACAATATTATCGGTCAAATATGAACGTGTAAGTTCATGAATTGAACTGTTGTATTCCAAATAGTAAATCATCATAATAACTTAATGTTTAATTTTGTTTTATCTCTTTTCTCATCTAAATAGGAAACTTCAATATATATTATTTATCAAATATTAATTTCTATGTACTCGGATTTCAGCCATATATTTTGATGTAAGAAGATTTTTGTGCTATCCTGTAGCTGCCTAAATCATAATAAATAATATGGGATTCGAACCAGAAATCTACCAGTTAAACATCACCTGCTTCAAAACGGGTACAAAGTAAGGATATCAAATTAATTGAAGTAGTGATACTTCATCAGTTGAGATGACTGGGACACGTGTTACACATGCCCAAACACCGACTGCTCCCACGTGAGATGTTTCATGGTGTAGGATTAGGTTGGAAGAAAGTTAGAGGCGACAAGACAAAAACATGGCACAAATAAATGAAGTCACTGACAAGTCGACTGAGCCATGTTGGTAGGTGTACACTACCTGGTTGGGATCCACAAGACGACAGCAAACGATGGTTAGAGACCTTGGATGACATGGCTCAAAATCGTTTGTAATGGAGCAGGTGCATACACTCTTTGTGTTCTCCCAAATTCTAATCTTCTGAATTCTTAATGTCCCATTCGCTTTTTCTCTTCCCAAATTTATCTCACTGGATTATATTTCTGAATAACATCTTCAAACCCTAATCTTTACGATTACTGCTTATACCCTTACTAGCTCTACCACTACGGTGTGTGAATTGACAATTGTATCTCTGTTCTAATGCGGTATGACGACTCGAACTGATGCACGTACGTACGAAGTTCTACATTGTTGACTGACTGACTGCTTCAAAACCGTATAGGCACAGAACAATATGAATGTTATGTAACTTTTGGTTTTTTTCGTCTTGTCTTTTTTCTCTACTGCTTTGCAAAACAATCATATCGTTTATAGTATCAAGAAAATAAAAAATCATTATTATATATTACAGTTTTAAATCTCATTGATTCAATGCTGAACAGACATAAAATCTAATAATAAGCGGAGATGATGGTGGCTAGCAGTGGAATCTAAAACACGCGTTCTGTCCTATCTGGGACTCGTCAGCTGGATGTACCTTCACCCCAGAGTTGTTCACTCTGAAACTCGAGCCTAGTATCGTCCGCTTCAAAAGCCATTGGTTTATTCAATTAGCTACTGAGTCCACAAAGCCACTAGCTTGTATAATGGGGGGGTGAGGTTTAAATCATGGAATGCAGGTACAACTAGCTTACCAGTCCCAAATAAAATGAAACGCACATCCTAGATTCCACTAGTAGCCACCATCCATTTCTGTTTATAATACCTGAGACTTAAGGCAATATCGAGACAATCCACGCAGAATACACATATGCCAATAAGAAACTGATCAATTTCACTTTTAAACATCAATGGGAAGACTCAAACAACCAATACATAAATGAATAAAGCGAAATTTTCAAGGAGAAAAAAATACATTACCATCTATATAGAAAGATTTATAACTAATCGTGAATTAACTTATTCATTCATTTACACTTAAATAAATACACAATTAACACTGTAAACGTTGCATATACATGACAACTTGATCAATCTGTTTTATTCATCAGTCAGTCAGTCACAACGTAGAACTTCGTACGTACGTACATCAGTTCGAGTTGCCACACCACCTTATTCATACAAGTTTTAAATATAGATTAGTAGAGTATTTGACTAAAACGGACTGAATTATTGAATGGGTAATGTATGCATACGGATATGGTCAATTATTAATGTAGAATTCAAATGTTTAGACACATATAATATATAAACTAGTAAAAACTGTAGACAATGTTTATATTGACAGTGACATAGTAAAGGTGAGGAGAAGAAAAAAAGAAGGTCGATAACAGCAAATGATTTAATGTTGAAGTCAAATTTATTGTGAGTTTCGGTTAACTAGCCGATGAAAACACTAAAGCAAAAAAATAAAATAATTTAAATTATGGACTGGGAAATATTTGAAAGTAAGAGAGAGATAAAGTGCCTGGAAACTATGTCGTGGCAACATACCATATTAGTAATACTAAGATTCAGCAATGTGTATTTGGAGGTAGTGACGATTATTCAAATGGTGTTATCGTCTTTAAACATCGGATTTGGCAGCTCGGATATAACTAAAAAAATGTCCGAGGCTTTCATTTCGTACATGAATTGTTGACGCTAGGACTTGGTGCAAAAAGTGGAGAGATGAAAGATAGTTGTATAGGACTAGAACCTATCAGTCCATCATGATTTTCTATTTAAGGTCCTAGAAATTATGTAAATTAGTGGCTTCAGACTTTACCAGACATGGGACAGAATGGAGTCTTTCATATTCTACATAGAAGGTGACAGAAACTTAACTAATAGACATTCTTTTTGGTCATATCTTTATACTGTACAGTAAACCAGTCCACACTTTTTAAATGTACTCCCTATCCTAGCTTTATTTGTTTGGTGCAAACTTTCTTGGTGGCCAACTGTGTGCAGTAAGATAAAAATTAAAACACAGTCGTACCATTCAGGATCTAATTACTCGTGTGTAATCACCCATGATGGAGTCGAATGCAAAACTGACCTAAAAGCAGTGGACAGCTATTTCTTTCTAATATGGACCTCCTCAAAAGTGTTTATTCACGACCCTACCATACGAAGTCGAACCAAAGATCTTAGGTCTGGAGTGCGAATGTCAACTAAAGGAACAGTACCTGTTAGTACTTGATTGATTAGAGTAAAATATGTGCGTCGTATTCTTTATCATTGTCTCCGCATTATTTCAGTGCTACAAACTTATGTACAGACTGTTTTTCCATATTTAAATCTTTCGCAACCAGCCATAGAGTCACTGAGAAAGAATAAGAAAATACATGCATTTGAGTTCTCAATATTACAAATAGAATGTTGTTTCGCATTTATCTTATCCTTGTAGCCCATATGATCTTAACTGAAACATCGAGTTAAACTGATAAGAGATCATTTTTCCAATTCTTGATATCTATAAAGGGCCTGTAACAATGAAGTAGTTCCTTTGGATGCTTTTTTCAGGTTTCATTACAAATTTGGTGTAACTCAATCAGTGTATCTAATAAACACAGTAATATATATATATATATATATATATATATATATATATATATAAACTATCACTCACTTCACAAAATGGTATTTCACTTGCTGGATGTACAACTGGTTGACTACGACGAGGTTTGTAAAATAATCTATCGAATCCCTCATCTGACGAATTGATTCCAGCATTATTATTGGAACCATTTGCATGATATCGATTATATGTATTCCTACCGCCTTTTCTTAATAACGACGATGATGATGAACGAGCAACTGTACGTGGTGAAGGGGCACAACTGGTGGATAAGCCAGTAAGACGATTTTGATACTCAAGCTAAAATGAGAATTACAAACAAAATATATTGTGAGTAATAATAATAATAATGATAATAATAACTGAAGTTCGACAATGAAGTAAGCAATCAGATTGCATTATGGCATGTTGTACTGTGATGGGCGATTATTTAAAGATAATTAACAGAAATTAACGGGTTTACATCTAGAGTTTGGTGAAATTCGTTTCACTAAATGAACATTCTACAAATTGGAATATTTAATAATAATCGCCAACCTAATGCAAGATGTTACGAATGAGATGGTGAAGTATGGAGTAATCTTATGTACAGATGACAAGATAATTTTATTAACAACGTTTGTGGTGTAGCCAATAAGTTATGAGACTCAACAAAGTGATGTACTATAAAACATAGGAGTGTTCATAAAAGGATAACAGCCAGTCAGTCAGTTACAACGTAGGACCAGACACATGCATCGGTCCAATTTGCCATACCTCATTAGCACAGAAAAATGAACACCGGATTCGTAGAGGAAGTTAACTCAATGGTGTATTATAAAAAGAAAAGATTTTATGCAAGGATATAGTACAGAAAGAAAGAATTAGTTCGTAGAAAGAAAGATATGAAATAATTTTAATCTCATAGTTTAAGGGAAGACAAAGAGTGTATACACCGACGCCATTGTGATCGATTCTCAGCCATGTCACCAAGAATCTCCAACCATTGATTACGATAGTTGCATGGACCCCAACCAAGTGTCTGTATCTACCAGCATGGCTCAGACTAGAAGTTAGTGACTTCAAGCACTAATGCCACGTTTTGGTTTGGCCGTCCCTAACTTTCTTCCATCCATCTCCAACACTGGCCAGTATTGCGCATCGTCGTAATCGGTGTTCGGGCATACGTAACACGTGGCCCAACCATCTCAATCGATGAAGATTTACAACCATATCGACTGATTTACCATCATTCCCTAATACCTTGCGTCTAACCTCAATATTACTTACCCGATGATTCCAGCAGATGCGAGCAATATTTTTAAGACACCTGTGGTCAAATAATAGTAGCTTACGAGTATCTTCTACTCTAAATGGCTACATTTCGCAGCCGTAATGTAAAACAGAGCGAACTGCCGCGCATTATACTCGTCCCTTAATTGACAGATAATCTATGGCTTGAAGTTGATAATATTTAAATGGATAAGGAGTTAACACTATAACTTCTTATATATCCTCTATTTGTTTAATAACGTTTTTTATGTAGTCAAGTATTGTATTCATGTTGAACCATTTAAATTTAATTGGTTTATGAAGGTAGTTGTAGAGAGTGTTGAAACCTGAAAATTCTTTATATGGTCATCCGAATGAACTATTTAGGAAGAGACGGTTGTACAATTATCTTCGATTAAAATAATTCAGTAGATTGTTATTAATAACTAAAAATATATTATATCTGACCATTCAATTAAACGTACTAACTGATTAGTGAAGAGATAGATTAACATGAACAATTAATTTTAAAACACTTATGAAAACAAAGACAGAACTTTCAGTAATGTAGATGACCATTATTTCCTTCTATACTCGGAAAAAGAAATACTGAAAATATACCTAACGTGTAATACCAGTTAGTTAATATACATGATCGTTTGAACTGATGAACAAATCAAACGAATTTAGTTAATATAATTTCAGTAATCACCTCAAAATGGACTTTTGGTGTATGCTACTTATGTCGATAGATATAAGTAGTATGTAACACATATCAGAAGTGAAATGCATGGCAGTAAAAGATTGAGTAGATTGAAATAAAGAGAAGAGAGGAGAAAACTGAAAGCAATCAAGATAACAACAAGAATGAAGCAACAATGAAGTTTTTAAGAGACAATTCAAAGAAGATGTGCAAATGAATTATGATTTTCACATTATAATAAACCATTGCGTGATTATGCATTGAACAATAAATTGGTCTTCCCCACCTGTGTTCGTTCATTACAGACTAAGCTCATAATTTCTAATGTGATCACAAAATACAATGATATTTTCAGTCATATTTTAGTAATAAGTACTATCCTCAACTAAGACCATCAGTAAATTACTATGACACATAGGTTAAATACATGAAGCAGTAACTCAGTGATTAAGAGTCTAAACTTCTAGTCACTAAATGATATAAACAAACTCCACTTCTCTTAACATCCGGTTTGAGCAACCGAATAGTATAAATATCACACACGTAAAATGTACCTTAAAGATAAGTACACCAACCTGTATCTAGTAGGATTATTAATACAACTTCACGAATCAAGACATTTTGTTACAATTTCAAGAAGACTTACTTTAAAACTGGTGAAACAATTCGAACAATTTTCAACATATGCCTTTTAATTAATAAATAGATTGTAGTTTAAAACACTGTTACACTTATTCTGCAGATTAGACAAACCGAGTAATATATGCGATAACTTTCTTATGTAATAAAAGCCGATAAGTGGGTTGCATACATCCAAAAATTGATCTCAGTTGTAGTAACACTGAAAACTAGTGGACACTGAACAGCTGTTGTTTCATTATAGTACAGAACATATCAACAGTGTACATATATGACCTTAGTAATCGAACCTTGTCGAAGAAAGTCTTGCGTTGAACACATAAAAACATACGTGCTAAAGTAAAATGACCACGCGTATACAATTACTGTCAGGGAAGTCTTACTCATTACCTTCTCAAGGATGGAGTGTTTTACGATATTCACCGGGTTGGTGGATATAGAAAATCTATCTAAGGGACCTGGAATTCCAAACCAATGGTGGCACATGGGATCCAGGATCTTGAGGGAACCAATCATTGGTCACCGGATACCATGGGACTGTATCTTCTAACGTTTCTCCACTGCCTTATGGATTAAACCTCTAGATCAAAGGCTCGGGGAGTAGTAGCCCTTTAAGAAAATCATCCTTGGTTTGGGCACCCGGATAGTATCCTACCCCTCATACAAATAGAATAAAGAAGTGTGACACATATGTATTTGGTGCCTCCTTGTACCACTATTTATGTATTAAAATAAAAATAAATAAACAAAATTGACAAAATATTAAACGAAATAATAAATCTCACACATACACACACACAAACACACATTCATACACTACTATTATTACTGTTGACAGGAATACAAAACATTGAGATGATTTTTTTCCCAATACATACATATTGTTAAAATGATTATCACATAAATTTGTATTACAGGCACATTTACATAGTTTAATGACGTAGCTTATTACACATGCTACATCATACATATAACAACAATAAAGACAAAAAAATGATTATTTTCCATAAAATTGCCAAAAAAATAAATGAGAATTAAGTGAAAATTGTGAGAGAAATATTAGTTTATAGGGGAGGGAAGGGGAAACCCTCCTTTCCCCCCCCCACCTCCCTCCTTCATATCCATGAATTATTTTCTTCTTGTGGTACTTTTAGTTTTGACACTGATTTTTTGTTACTTTTTTCTTAAAAAAAGAAAAAAAAATTTTTTCCTTTTTATTCTTGAATTAATTTTAACTTTTCACCAGTACTCAATCGAAGGTTGGAACCATAACGTAAAAAAAATTCATATTTTCCATAAGCATTTAATAAATCTGTAATAAGGACAACCTGAAGTGTTTGAACAAAAAAAAAACAAAAAAAATGGCGGGAAAAATCTAAAAGTTATTTATAATAGTAAAAAAAAATAAGTTATGGTTAGCAGTAGAATATAAAATGTGCATTTTATCTTACTTGAGAAATGTTTATACATTTCAGTGTTTATAACTACACTGGGACTTGAATCCAATTATCTTTCAGTTCAAATGTCCAACATATATATCCATTAAGCTACTGGATCCATTGAGTTAATAACATATTTAATGAATATGATATTTATATCATAAATAGTAAGTGTTTCATTTATCCAGTTATAAGTATTCTCCATTGAATTTTAATTAGTCATTGTGTTTGAATCCCAATGTTAACATTAATACTACAATCCAGTTAAGTTCATGAAACTGACGATTTCGAAACAGGACAATAAGCGCGTTTTGGTTTCTACAACTACCATTAATCTATTGATTCCACAGATCAGTTGAGTAGATCAATTTCTGATAAGTTCAGATTTGACTATAACATCTAATCTAGCCAAGTTGTTCGACTTAATATGTGTGCATTTGACATGTTAGATTATGCGTTAAAATTTCTTTGTAGATTTTTGTGCCATCTTTCTGTGAATTCTTCATCGCTATAAAGTATAAACCGATTGTTTTAATGTTGGATTCATATCATTTTCACTTTTCTGTTTTGTACATAATTAATGTATGGACATTAGGTCTTAGGGAGTCAGGATGAAAGCCTGAAAGTAGGTAACACGCTAGTTGATCCTCATCAGAAGAGCTCATTTGTAGTCTTGGGAAAACTGATGATCCTTGCGAGATTCGAACTGGCACCGAACAGCTTTACAGTACTGAGGAATTAGGGACCCAATTAACTTCCCCTAGCATTGAGATATTTACAACTGATCGATTACTCAATAGTGCTCAACGTCAAATTTGTGTGGTTCTTTAGTGCCAACTGGATTTTGCCGATACAGTTGCAACACAGCTACTAGTCAAACTGACGTAACTAGCACTAAACGGCTAGAGAAACATGATATTGTTTAATATTAGCTGATCAGTTAAATTTGAAATGATCTGATTGGTTCTTCACTTACCTGTCCAAATGCATGCACCAACGATGCGGCGAAATAGAAATTCGCATTTCCAGTACCCGGTTGCAACCAAATATAATGAAATAATGGACTAAGAAACAATGCAGTCAACAAGCAACACGACGAAATAAACATCATTCGAGTTTCTGTATAAGAAAAATATAGTAAGCAAAGAAGGAGAAGGTGGTGAAAACAGAGAATGACAAATGTGTCTGAAGATAATATAAGTTGAAATGTTAGTTGGTCCTTAAAGGGGAACTGCATTTTAACTAGGCTTCGTATCAGTTGGAGCTCATCAATAAGATGTATCTGAGGGATTCAAATCCGCGTTTCGTACATCTTGAACATTGTCTTCCAATACTGTCTTTAATCACATAGCTCTGACGCCTCGATCGTGGGAAACAGTTTATCAATTCAACTGTAACTTTTGACAACAGACTTCTAGGTGCGCCGATATAGCGGACGATGATGAGTTACTGGATGTAGTGTTTTGCATATATTCAGCTTTTGATTATATAGTAAACAATCGTTAGATCGTTAAGGGATACTGTTTTATTCGTTTCTTCCAGAATAATTTAGTTGGATTCGAAAAAGTTTGGAATATCATTTTTATTGTATCGAGTCGCAAAAGCCTTACTTTCTATACTGGCCATTTTGCTACATCTAAATAACAGTTGAAACACATAACACTCAGCCCACTAGTTTCTTTTATTATTTTTTCCTGAGTGCAATCATTCAGGGTTTCAAATACTTCCACTAACTTCACATGAAACATTTAGTCCACTTAAGCAAAGTTACTAAAGAATGAGAATTATTAGGTACTATCATTACTCTCTTTTTCCGCCTAATGCATCTCAGGTATGTGGCATCCTATCAACAATCTAACACTTCCAGGTTCAACTATTGGGAAGGCCACAACCTTTAAGAGGCATCATGACGCCATAGGAAGTGTTGTTGAACCTATTCTACGTGGTGTACCGAATCCTTCGACCCTTCGTCCTAATTGAGGACTTAGAGTCTACAGAATGAAATTTCATGTTAACCATTTTACAAGTGAGTGACCATTGACCAACTAACGTCGTCCCTAATAGCCCTATTGTCAGACTATAGGATTATGATAATCCGCATTAAATTACTTTTTCATAATACAAGAATCCAAATTATCACAGCTGGTCAGATTTATATTGACACGTAGTTTGTATCTGGTGTCAGCTAAACTAGACTGTCTTTTTATAAACCTCGTCAAGTCACTGAACAAAGCGTTTTAACCATCATAAATAATTTCACAAGCTACATTTTCCCACTCCCATTGCATTTCCATAGAATATTTAATTAGGTCTTCAATGGTCCTCAAACATTAGGAAAATTTAACAACAGGCTAGGAGGTTATATATTTGTTCAACATCTCTGGCTAAAAATTCTAGCCATTTTACTATAGTCTGTTTTCGGCTTTAACAAGGTGGTGAGATGGGTGATGTCAAGCATTGTCTCGCTGTTACATTACTACATTTAATATTTTAACCTAACTTTGATTCGAACAAATTCATTACACATACATACTTTGAAATTCCTCATAAAATTCCCAGTGAGGCATAGGATTATCAGCAACACTTTTTGAATATTCTTTATTGAAAATAGAAAATTTTCGATATCATATTCTCCTTTTATCAAATATGGTTGAGTAAAACCTTCTCTCTTATGGTGACGCAATTTTTCAATCTCAACTTTCTTTAATTAAGTTACATGTAGCTTGGCTAACTTTAAATATATTAATGAATTATTTTCACATTATATCCCTTTCGAATTACTATTCACTGTATGACTTTGAAGGATGAGGTGACAGCTCTGGAATTTCATCAACATTATAATATTTCTTAGAAGTAATCTTAGTTACAGATATGTTGTCTACTCAATAAGAATAAATTAATATTCGAAGCTATATAGAACAGTAATTGTTGACAGATACAGTTTTCTTGCTGACATAGTCTACTTATTATGACTACGGATACTTGTAGTGTGCATCCGCAAACACCGACTACGGATACGCTAAGGCTGTGTTCAGCAGTTGAGGGACTTGCTTAGAAAATCTATATTTAGGTGAGTCTAATCCACACATCAGAGATAAAAGACATAAATATGGTGAAAATTTGAGGTTATAAATGGGATTGTCTACACGGAAACCACTAACATTCATCTACTACGTAATCTAAAACATAACTGGGTACGCTACACTTAGTGAACATTGAATATGTTCATGTAAATTTCAGCTCGTATGGAAAACTCACGATTTAAAAGATGACTCCACATTGGTAGGATAGATATTAAGAGACCAAGTTCTCCAATATTGTGATATGGTTGTAATACATTGATAACAAATGATATTACAAGGCATGTATATAATGGATTTCGACTAATTAGCATAAATAGAGATATAAAGAATGGGAGCATATGAACAATCATTACAAAAATTGGTTTCAAATAAAGTCAAATAGTCTTAATAAATTAATTAAATTTGACAGTAGTATATCTTGACCGTAAACTGAAAAATTCATGAGTATATATTGTCAAAAACAGAAAAACTACAGCTTCCCACTATCCCTATTTAGTATTTTATTGCTTTTTATAACAGCTGAAGCTGGTACTTGAAAAGGGCTTTTCTTTGAGATATTGAACAACCATTTCATTTAGGTCCAGTTATATGATATTCGACAGTTGAATTGCGACAAACATAGATTCTCGTTAATGAAAATCGGACGTTGGTCCTTAAAGATGGCTTTTAATGGATCTGCAACTGATGTTAATCAATGTCCCATAGTGACAAATATTTTTTTAAAATATTTTAGTCGTTTTCAAATTCCTTTATCAAGCACAAGTTAATACATTCCACTTACAGTCAGTCATACTTTTCTTGTGTGAACGCCTAGTAATACTACTTGATTGTTGAAATAGTACTCCGATTGACAATTGAATACAATCAGGTGATGCTTGGAATAAGTAAAACACATCGGAGCAAAGCTGAACAGAAAAGATTAACTTCGGGAGACGTTCTATTGCATTTTAGTCATGGAGATATCTATAAACGCGAGTAGTTGTGCTGATCCTCTGCAAAGACGCATGAAAAGCGCCAATGGCATATGAATCTCATGCACCGAAGACCATCAAACAATCCTTCACAACAAAGGACAGGACCACAATGAATGTTATGCACTGCTATGAGTCGACCAGTAAAAGCAGTGGAGATCATGAACATCAGTTTTATGAGAGGCTGTAGTCGATCATAGAGAAATGCCCAACTACTTAGCGTTCACCGAACCACTCACTGTATGACTAATTAACAATCAATGTCGTTGAATGACACCAGCGGGAATTTTTTATGCTGATTGCTCGAATTAATTACACTGAATTTTCTCCAATTGCAGGCTAACCTTGATTCGTTAATTCGAAGATTGAAGGTTCAGAATTTTTCCACCCCGTCGCCACACATAACAAGTAATGAATCAAACATTTAACGAAACCACGTTTATCATAACTTGGTTGTCAATACAATTAGATTTTATTTACTAGTAAGAAAGCAACGATTGGATTATGGGCCGAAATAGGAAAACTCTTTTATAAAATTATAACAACAAGATATTACAGATTCATTACGATTATTATTTTTATTTCAAAACGAAATATATTCACCTACTTGAATTTAACTGTCAAGCCAACTACTATGCTGAAAATAAGTAGTTGGAAAACCCATGTGAAAAACTCACTGAAATGATCAAACATTTCAACAAACATGTACCAAAAGATACCCATTTGAGGTGTACAATCAGCTACAATGATACTAAAAAGAAAGTGGAATATCAGCGAACAATGAATTTACATTATTAATAACATGATTTAACAAGTTAACGATAATTCGTTATGATGCGCGGTGTCCAACGATTTATACTGATATAGAAACGTTCAAAATGCTAGCCCCTCAAGATGATCTTGACTGTTGATTAGAGGTAATAGCCCGATTGTCACTTCTCAGTTTTCTACACCGTAGAAGGATATTTCTTCTTAAGTAACCTTCTGAGGATACTGAGTTAGTGCTGGTCTTAATGACTTGGAAGTGTGATTGCACAGCGCCAGGGATAACTGCTTAAGACTATACACAATTTCTTGATCTTGAATCCCCAATCAGAACAAAAATAATGATCGTTGAAAGATCTGACCGTCCAAGACGGATATCAGTGGGGTAAGGTGAGATGTGACATGCTTTGATTCGATTTCTTCTAACCCCTTTGTAATATGAGAGCATCGCTGTAAGTGCTAGTTGCTCAAAGGGAACGCCTTCCTACTATCACACCACAGTACAGTCAGTAGTACGACTTCTCCGTCGGACATTAGGTTGCTGCTTTTAGCCTTACTGTTCTCCAAACGACCTATCTAGAATGGTTCGACCTAAAGGTACATGTATTCTAGCTAATACAGTTCGTTTGAGTCATCATGACAGGCAAGTACGACGACCACATAAAGTTAGTAGCTACAGTCCAGATACCTACAGTTCCTTGATCTTGAATCAACAATCAGAACACAACTAATGATCGTTGTAAGACATTTTTATGTGTACTTGTGTATATGAGAGAGTGGGAGTATCACATGGTTTTAATGAGCGTTAGCTTGATGGTCAAAGTACGTAACTACCAGCCACTAAACTACGACTTTGAACCTTGGGTCATCTAATTCGGATTGGGTAACATGGTAGTACTGTGGTAAGTGCTAGTTATGACTGGTGGTCGACTGTTGACTGCATCGCCAATTTTTATGTCGGTGTTATAACTCTGCTTCTTACATTTGATGGCCCAGCTATTCCTATTGCTTAGTATTCTCGGACACAGATTCACTCGACAAGTCCCCAAATCAAAACACGGTTGAACAGGAAAAAGATTATATTCCAAATAGCAAGTCAGAAGCCAGTAGGAAGCACAATAGGGGAAAACGTCGGTAATTTATAGTTTTTACATAAGAAGATTCCAGAGTATTCTCCGACTATCGACTAGTGCTGATTGGATAAGAATCAGCCAATCAGCGTGCACCAAAACAACCATGCATTGAGCATGCTTTAATCTAGTCTATGTCCCGCTAACAGTCGGAATCGCTTATTACCCTACTTGTAAAACGAGGAACCATTGCAATTCTCACGATGCAAAGTAAGAACACTAAGACTGGTACAAGTTAGGATTTATTACCACCAAAACACGACGACGATCCTAGTCGAAAGTATACTCAATAGATGTATATCCATTGTAAACTCATTTGGTTATTAATTAGGATGAAATCACTTACATGAAAAGTACTTAGCGTTATAACAAATAATATGCTGCATGTCATGCTGAGCCTAGTTCATGTTAATTTAATAAAACAATATCGTATATTATACAGAATAAAATATCATACGGGAAAAAACAAATGCTACACTAGGTTATCACATTCAATCTAAACGGAAGTACTGTTGAACAAAAATCATGATGAGTAGAATAACCTAATTTCGACTTTTTATTGGATCATATCAGTGCTAAATATGTCGACAGAAATAAGTAGTATGTAACACCAATCGAACGTGGAATGCCTGTCAAAACAAGGTTGAGAAGACTGAACCGGAGAAAACAGGGAGGGAAATATAAAGGAATCGAGAATTGGAAGAATCATGAAGAATGTAAACAACAATTGATGGGAGATTTGCAAGTGAAGTAGTTTATGTATGGTTTCTACATTTTACGAAAGAACTCTGTAATTTCGCCCCAGACAGTCAATTGGTTGTCTCTATCTGAGTTCTCGTTCACCATAGAATTAATAACATTCAATGTAGGATAAAAGTTATCCAAAAGTCTGCACTTGGTTACTGAATTACATATAAAGAAGTTAAAAACGGAACAATTAGCTGGTGGATGATATATCTGGTGCTAAGACGCTTCAGTCAGTCAGTCAGCTACAACATGGGACCAAGCACATATATGCATCAGTCCAAGTTGCCATACCTCATTAATACAACAAGATGAACACCAGATTCATAAAAGTAGTTAATTCAGTTGTGGCAATATATAAAAGAAAGATTGCAATAAGGATATAGTAATCGAAGAAAGAATTAGTTCGTAGAAAGATATGAAATAATTTTAATCTCATAGTTTAAGGGAAGACAGAGAGTGTATACACCGACGCCATTGTGATCGATTCTCAGCCATATCACCAAGAATCGCCAACCATTGGTTACGATAGTTGCATGGACCCCAACCAAGTAGTCTGCATCCACCAACATGGCTCAGACCAGATGTTAGTGACTTCAAGCACTAATGCCACGTTTTGGTTTGGCCGTCCCTAACTTTCTTCCAACCATCCCCAACACCCGTTAGCATTGCACGTCGTGGTAATCGGTGTTCAGGCATACGTAACAAGTGGCGCAATCATCTCAGTCGATGAAGATTCACAACCTCATCAACTGATTTACCATCATTTCCTAATACCCTGCCTCTAACCTCACTATTACTTACCCGGCAGCAGACGCCAGCAATATCTCTAAGGCATCTGTGGTCAAATAATAGTAGCTTACGAGTGTCTTCTACTCTTAATGGCCATGTTTCGCTACCGTAAAGTAAAACAGAACGGACTGCCGCGCAGTATACCCGTCCTTTTATTGATAGACGGATATCTCGCCTTCGCCAAAGGTGACGCAAGTTGGCAAAAGCCAAACGAGCTTTTCGAATCCGTGCTGAGATTTCGTCAGACACCCACCCATTAAGGCTGATCAGACTTCCAAGATAAGTGAAGTTGTCGACGCGTTCGACTACTTCACTCCCTATCCTTAGTTCAGGTGTTGACGCAGACCAATCCTGAAGTAACAACTTGCATTTAGAGGGAGAGAAGCACATTCCAAACATTCTGGCATTGTTACTTAGTGCTACCAGAAGACTCTGCATTTTGTCAGCGTCTTCACCAAACAGGACTATGTCATCTGCGTATTCCAAGTCGATAAGTGGACCTCCTGGAAGGAGATCAATACCCGAGAATTCAGTCGACGAGAATGTTATTTCCATCAGTAGGTCTATGATGAAGTTAAACAAAAATGGAGAAAGTGGACAGCCTTGACGGACACCACAACGGTCGGGACGCTTACCAATAATTTTCTAACTGCTTACCAACCCCATAAAACTCCTAAACCTGAGCCCTGAATAAAATATAGAGACCTGAAGTATAAAAAGAAGCTTAACTTCCAATGTTAGTTTGGGCCACAGAAAACAAGGATATTCACAAGCTTATATGTGACCCTGATATCCTAGGAGCTTCTGAACACATATTAAAATTAACAATAAAATAGGTAATTGTTCAACTAGGGTATACAAATCGTTTTGTAAAACTTTATACGAAGTTTCCATAGAATACTGACTGGTTGGAATATTTCTACTCTTTTCCTAGTTTATGAGAGAATCCTCGAGGGCTCCGAACAGTATATATAACAAATACGGTAAGAAAAAAATATCTTGAAACAGTCTTTGATATAATTTCTAGTTGTTGGTTGCATTGAAATTAGTATATGCACTTGTCCTACTTAGAACTCATCAACTAAATGTACCTACATTTAAGTATTAACGGTCACAGTCCAATTCACCTCAAATACCAACACATTATCCCTCAAAAAAATATATATGTAAATCTTGTGCAGTAGAAATATATCCTCATAGGATAGATATAAATCAACAAAAATTGACTATCATAACCATTTACCGAAAGGTTGACAACAGAACAATATAAAATCTATTGAAACCCCAATATGTTTGTGAATAATCAAAAGAAATTATACAGAATTTAATACTTACGTATTCCAATAAACTGATGTTAAAAAACTCCAATCATGATTTTCTACAGTATAACTAATCCATAATAAAATTGAATAACTTCCAATGAAAGTAACCAATAATGGGAGGAGATTAGATAGACGAGAAATTATTCCTTTCGATTTACTTGGAAACTGCTTTTAACAATAAAAGATATGTATATAAAGAAAAAGTGAAATGTATAGAAGAGGTTTTTCATTGCATAAGGGATTTGATCAACAATAGGGACAAGCCAATCAGAAGCGTTTCAATTATTAGCCAATCAGAAGACAGTTAGCATAAAGGAAAAATATATTATAAGAAACTAATGAATTACAGTGGATATTCTTCTTTTACATGATCTAAAAACTTGTTAATGCTTGATAAAGGTTCAGAGGATCTGAATTCATAATGCATACGGTATAGAAACTCGTCCATAGGGTTAGGTTTAGGGTTAGGGCTATGGTTTAGGTTAGGGCGGCGAGACTCTAATTTAGAGATGAGTCAATCAGAAGCGTTTGAGCAATTTCAAGGTCACGGAGCCAAGTCCAACACGTGATGCTAACATACGATCGGTTCACAGCGGATTTTAGAGAAGAGGTGATTACTGAGAGGCTAGAACCCTAAACCTAAACCTAACCCTATGGACGAGTTTCTATACCGTATGCATTATGAATTCAGAACCTCTGAACCTTTATCAAACATTAACAAGTTTTTAGATCATGTAAAAGAAGAATATACACTGTAATTCATTAGTTTCTTATAATATATTTTTACTTTGTGCTAACTGTCTTCTGATTGGCTCGTCCCTAAATTATAGTCTCTCCGATCAATCCGATTCACTTAAAGGGGAATAATCAAAACTATAAGATAACTGTTATATCCTAATAAGGAATAAAATGAATGAGTACTGCTACGAATTATTTATGGACTATTATTACATATATTCCTACGGGATAACCACTACGTAACTACTGGATTATACATATATATCCATACTTCTTTTATCATAAGCTTTCATTCAACCTATTAGCTACTGCAATGCGATTTACCATTCTCAACTTATTTTCACATTGTTAGTTACAGCATACCACACTCATAGCCACTTTTGACTTGATCTTGTATAATTTATTTTCCATTTTATGGTGTAATGAGGCCTGATCTGTATGTATGTAAACTACATATGTCTGAAGTATACAATACATAAAGTGGCGGCCGGTATTTGTGTTCTAGACTCAAGGAGGAAGCCTTCGCGAAAAGCTACTGTACTGAGGACCAAAAAGGATTCAGAGTCGACGCAACGCTACTAGTACCGTAACGTTATTCCTGGTCTGCTGAAACCACGCTCTAAACTGCACATAGAAGCTTTTAACGTCCGAACACTGTGCCAAATAGGACAACAGGCTTCCTTAGGTAGGACTTTCGAATCTCGCACATCGATGTGTGCTGCGTCTCCGAAACGTGCATACAGGATCCGAGTAGTGTCATTCACTTGACCTCATCATGTCAAAATAAAGAACCAACTCGATTCACACTTCGTGTATCTGGAAGCCCTGCTGTTGCTTCCCGTGGCCTCGCTGGCGTAGGTATAGCATTGAGTCCTAGAGCAGAACTAGCTCTCTTAGACCGGATCACAGTAGACAGTTGTTTGTGCGCTAACCAACTAAACGGAACAATAAGGACACTCGTCATTGCCTTTTCGTCGTCTCTGCCTACTCTCCCACTGACTGCAGCTCAGATGATGTGAAAGATGAGTTTTACAGAAAGCTTTCCGACTTTCCCCAAAAAGCTAGGCGCTATGATGTAGTAATAGTGGCCGGTGACTTAAATGCTCAATTAGGTAAAATAAGCGAAAAGGAAAGACACCTGGGTGGATCTTATGGTGGCTCAAAGAACAGATAATGGCGACCAACTGTTACAGCTATGCTCAGATAACCACCTGTTTCTTTCAAACACCAACTGTCAGCATAAGGAAAAACATTTTTTGACATGGCAACCCCCGGATTCGTAACGATGTTGGACCCAAATAAATCACATCGCTATCAGCCACCGATGGGAGGGCTCGATAGAAGACTGTCGCTCATTCTGGAGCACAGGCTTAGATTCAGATCATGCTCTAGTGCGAGCGCGTATTTGTCTGAGTCTTACTGGACGCAGGAAGGATGCTGCAAGGAAACCCCTTAGGGTTCTATTTATTGATAGTCAAGTTAAGAATATATTTCGGGAACAACTAGGAAAACAGTCAGGTAGCCATGTAAATGATGCCCACCCCGAGGCAGCATGGAATGACATCCGAAAAGCTGTGGAAACAGCAGTAATATCTACTAGTAAGGTAAACCATAAGATTAGGGAGAAATACTGGATCGCAGCAGCATCTACCGCACTGATAGATGCTCGAAAACTCATAACATAACAAAGAGCGGAGTCAGTCTAAGCACAGGCTGATAAGAAGCCTACGCAATGATCGTGAACAGTGGTGGGTAGCGGAAACAAGAGAGATGGAAAAGGCAGCGGCAATAAGTAACAGTAGACAGCTGTTCAGAATTGCTAAGGAAACCGGTATTACGAACCCAATTATTAGCGAAACTATCTTAGAAAAAGATGGATATATTATTCATTCTTAATCCAGGAGATTGGATCGATGGGCGGAACACTTTAAGTATCAGTTGAACTGGCCTCCAGCCACACTTCGGTTTCCCACGATCTTCAGTCGGCCTGAATGGCAAGTAACTGTAAGTCCTCCAACTCTTCACGAAGTTGAAAAATCTATAGGAAATCTGAAGCGTGGGAAAGCAGCAGGCCCTGACAGGTTCACTCCCGAGACTTCTAAGGATGGCGATCCAGTATTAGCAGCGAGATTGACTGAGGTCTTAGGTAGAATCTGGAGACTGGACGTAATCCCATCTGACTGGTCCCATTCCCTGATTATGCCAGTTTATAAGAAAGGAAAAAAGTCCTCTTCTGACAATCACAGAGGAATCAGTTTGACTAATATAGTGTCTAAAATATTAGCTTCAATAATACTTCGACGTCTAACCAAAGCTGGTGAAGAGCAAACTAGAGAAAGCCAGGCTGGTTTTCGACCCGGACGTGGTTGTATAGACCACATATTCAAACTACGTCAGGTCCTAGAACAAAGACACACATTCAGACGCCCCACAATCGTAGTATTTCTCGACCTTAATACATTTAATCCATTTTACTCTGTTGATTATGAGGTTCTGTGGAAGTGTTTATCACTGAAAGGAGTGCCAAAGAAGTACATTACCCAATATAAAAGCTCTTTAACCGGACACAAGTGGTCGAGTGAGAGCTTATGGAGAACTGTCATCAGAATTGATTGCCTCAAGTGGTGTTCGTCATGGCTGTCCACTCACGAGGTCGTTGAATTGGTGTCGTTGTAGTGGGTTTGCTGCCCGACTGATGCTGAGATGACTTAATTTGACTATTTAGAGGAAGTAAAATCCGTAACAAGGTTTCCGTGGGTGAACCTGTGGATCATTATCATGACCCAAAAATATATAGTGATGCATGCACCTGGTTTCGTGCTGGACTGCATGTACCCTGGCATTTACCCTAGGCTTCAGCGGTAATGATCGTAGACGTGCATTTAGAAATAACACTTTCCTCATCTAAATTTCCATGAGTTGAACATTTACCGGGAGATTCACTTGTTGACTTCGAATATGCCGATGACATAGTTCTATTTGGTAAAGACGAGGACAAAATGCAGAATCTTCTGCCTACTCTAAGCAACAATGCAAGCGTGTTCGGCATCCGATTCTCCCCCTCCAAATGGAATATCTTGCTTCAGGATTGGGTTGCATCGACACCCGAACTAATGATAGGGAGTAAAGTAGTTGAGCATTTCGACCTCTTCATTTATCTTGGAGTCTCATCAGCCCATGTGGTCTGGTGTGTGACGAAATCTCAGCACGGATACAGATGGCTCGACTAGCTTTTGCCAACTTGCGTCATTTATGGCATAGGCGAAATATCCGTCTACCAACCAAAGGACGGGTTTACTGTGCAGCAGTTCGTTCCGTCCTACTTTATGGCAGTGAAACATGGCCGGTAAGAGTAGAGGATATTCGTAGGTTACTAGTATTTGATCATAGGTGTCTTAGAAACATTGCTCGAATATCCTGGGAACACCGAGTAAGTAATGCAGGTGTTAGGAAACGGGTACTAGGTAAGGATGGCAAATCAATTGATGAAGTAGTGATACTTCATCAGTTGAGATGACTGGGACACGTGTTACACATGCCCAAACACCGACTGCTCCCACGTGAGATGTTTCATGGTGTAGGATTAAGTTGGAAGAAAGTTAGGGGCGACCAGACAAAAACATGGCACAAATAAATGAAGTCACTGACAAGTCGACTGAGCTATGTTGGTAGGTGTACACTACCTGGTTGGGATCCACAAGACGACAGCAAACGATGGTTAGAGACCTTGGATGACATGGCTCAAAATCGTTTGTACTGGAGCAGGTGCATACACGTTGCGTTCTCCCAAATTCTAATATTCTGAATTCTTCATGTTCCATTCTTTTTTTCTCTTTTCAAATTTATTACACTGGATTATACTCCCTGAATAACATCTGCGAACCCTAATCTTTCCGATTACCGCTTATACTTTTACCACCTCTACCACTACGAGATTTAAATGGACAGTCGCTAATGTGGTATGGCAATTCGAACTGATGTACGTACGCACGAAGTTCCACGTTGTTACTGACTGATTATGGTCATAGTTACAGTAAATAAAAAATGAAATTTAAAATGAATAGTGTTCGTTTAATCGTTAATGCTAATCGAGGTGCAATGTGACCACCTGTATAAGTGATTCGACTTTGTGTGAGATGGTTATAGGTAATTGACAGGAAGCCCAGTAAAGCCAAAGTTTTGTGCTAATTCAGCACTTGACATATCTGTGATCTTGAGGGAACTGATGCCTTCTAGCGGATTCGAAACCCTGGTTGACAGCTTTTAGAACCAGATATAATCTTTTAGCATTACGGTTCACAACTAACCTGTTCTCTGTTCAGTACCTCTGACCAATTAAAAATTCAATATACCACTGGGGCGTAGCATTTTATCTCTAAAACTCAAATCTTTACAATTGTAAGCCCCGATCTCTCAAAAAATAGATTCGTGGCTATCTAACAGCAATCGGTTAGTGGATAACCTATTAGCGTTCGGAAAGAAAGATACTGGCTTCGTGCCCCTATGTGAACATTAACACGATTCAGGTACATCAAGCTGAAGAGTTCAAAACAGGACGAAAGGCCCGTGTTGAATGACACTGATAGCCTTGATTTATCTATTTTACTTTTAAAACGTGGTGAAAGATTATTTCAAGTGGAATTGAAATACGCAAGACAAGACTAGGCAATGAGATGAAAACATCGACTAAACTACACAGAAATGTACATAGTTTCTTTCTTATTAGTAATAATAGAAATTTAGTTGTTTTGATGAAAGATTCAATCTGAAGCCTTACATAACTATTATCACAGATCAAAGTATTTGGAAATCATCGTTTTCTAAACAAAACAGTGAGATAAATATCTTACATTGTAAGCAGCAGCTAAAACTGGAAACATTAAATATCCTGGATATATACGAATGTAACATCCAACAGCGCAAAAAGCAGCAGCCGATAACAAGTGACCTAAACAAAAATTTAGGAAAAAATATTCGCTAATTGTTAATTATTAACTGATAACAACCAAATAAAAATATGGCATCGATCCATGAACTCACCAGTTGCTCATTTAAGCCATATCATTAAGTGTAAAATTGTGTGGTTGATGTTTACGGTTATAATCATGTTTTATGATTGAGAATATTGGGTGACAACCTAGAGTCAGTTGAACAAGCCACAGTTGCAATCACGAAGAGGTAGTTTACTGGTTAGAGTTTGATTTTCAGTCGCTCAGTCTCAGATTTAAATACGGCTTTTACTACTTCAATTTGGGCAATCAGGTATTACCACTTGCCTTCACACTTAGAACGTGTCGCTCAAAGACCAAGTACACGAATATGTGTCTGGCAAGTGACAATGACCTTGTTTTTATTGCTCTGTTTAAATTTTTCAAGGGATCTGGTTGTATGATAATGAGAGTTGCAATCATTATTTATAGCTCTGAATGTTAAGGATAATTCAAGTCATTCCATTTATTGCTCCTATTTTTTTCTGGAAAGAAGGATACCTCATCAAAGTAACAATGAACGATCCCAGCAACAGTGAGAACTACAGAGGCAACACACTACTATCAGTTTAAAGGAAAGTGAACGCCCAAATTCGAGATAAATATGTTGGTTTTCGAAAGGATCGGTCGTATACTGACAAAACCACGACACTATAGATCATTGTTGGCATCAATACCAAGGTTCGACTTGATAGTTTCAAATAAGTTGAGCAGTAAGTATAGAGTTAATAATAAATATATTTTTGCTATATCTCAATGAGTAGAAAAATTGTATTTCTGACGTTTCGTGAGTTAATATAAACCACTTCTTCAGAGTAAACAAATAAACGACATTAAATCAACACAAGACAACTAAATGAATCCAACTCATCACTAAATCAACTCTCTCGACTATGTGAAATCATTTGATAGAGTTGAAAGTAGAACTTTATGAAACCTTCTACGATATCATGGTGTTTCTGAGATAATCGTCATCATCATACGGAGTTTCTATGAGACTAAACTGATTACAGAGCTCACAGATGCATTCCAAGCAAAGACTAGTGTCAGACAAGGTTGCGCACTCTCGCCTTTTCTGTTTCTTCTGATAGTTGACTGGATTATGAACACCTTCACGTCTCAGGGAAAGCACGCAATACAGTGGACAGTTTGGATCCAGTTACACAATTTGGACTTTGCGGATGGCCTAACTATTCTATACCATACAGAGCCAAAACGTAGGTGAAGACAGTGAGTGGGCGGAAATCATCAAACTACATCATAAGGAAGCCCTAACTTGGAGCTCTCAAGCAAAAAGAAAAAATGGGGAGACCGAAGAATAGAGTCAGTCAGCTACAACGTGGGACCGTTGTTTCTACTTTTACGTGGTGGTCGGGCTTGCCTATCGTGATGAACCGACCGAGCTATACTGGCCGGAACAACCGTTCCTCAAGGTCTTACCATGGCAGACAGGTCGGTTGAAGAGCGGTAAGACTAAAAGCAACAAACCCAAGGTCCGAAGGCGAAGTCGTACTGCTGACTGTACAGAGGTGTGACAGCAGTAAGATGTTTCCTTCAGACAACCAGCATGACAGCGACGCTGCCTTCGCACAAGGAGGAGTGGGGTTAGAAAAAGTCGACTCTAAAAATGCACACCTCACCTTATGCCACGGATATCCGTCTCCCGTGGTAAGGTCTCAACAAGTACGGAGCTAACACAAAAATTACCCATAAAAAAGTCGTGTGTGACCGACCTCAAGCAGTTGTCCCTTGGGCACTGCGGTCGCGCTCTCAGGTCACTAAGACCACCTCTAATCCAATTTCCTCTTCAGGTACCTCCAGAAGAACCCTTCTACGGTGTGGGCAACCGGGAAGTGATAACCGTCCTCATACCTCTAACACGACTCAAGACCACTGTATTCATATTCAACCGAAGAATACAATGCACTGGAAATCGGGAGCAGAAATAGTGAGTAGCACGTGACAACAGGAAAGAAGAACTCAGGACAAAGTTGGTAACAGGCATCAGTAAGTCCTTTTTTATTTTGTACTGTTTTTTTATGTTTGTATTTCCACTACAGTTTACATTATCTCCTTTCTTTTGGTTGCCATATATAATTAATTTCGCCTCTATGTACTGATGTAATATTTATTTATACATTTCAACACATAAGCATTGGTACAAAAAGGCAATGAACAGATATACGCCACGGAAATCATTTCATTTGTGTGAGGGCTGGGATACTCCCCGGGTGCCCGAACCGAAGCAGGTGGTTTTCTTAAATGGCCACACCCGGAACATTTGACCTGAAGGTCTGATCCACAAGGCAGTGGAGCAACGTCAGGAGATGCAGTCCCATAGTAGTCGGTGACCAATAATAGGTTCATACTCCATTTGTTTCCTTAGGATTCTGGAACCCATGTTCACCAATGGTTTAGAATCAGGGTTTTCCAACTCCCATAGATGGATCCGCCATATACACAAACCAGGTTAAAGCTCCAGACATTCATTTATCGTCCTCTCAATTTCGTAAACGACACCCCGCCGTGGCAAAGCAGTGACTAGGGCTTCCTTGGAAGTGGTTGTAATCACGTGGCCACGTGATAGCATTTCGAGAGGGAAAGCGGACTCTCCTCACTCTATGCCGTATCCGAGCATTTAGGAGCTGAGCTAATAACAACTTATACCGCCACACCGTTGCCACACTCTACATTGACAATAGATATTACTATGTAAAGAATAAATACGACTGCACTTGCTCAAATGAAGAGTAACTCGAATAATAATTGAGATTGTGATTAAACCAACCAGCTATAATTCCTTAATTATCATATAAATGTGACGAAATCGTTCGTTACACCAAATCGTTTCAACCAAAGCAGATCTTAGTGAACTAACGAAAACATCACAGGGAACTTACTAAACAGATTATAAATAATTTGTGAAAATAACTGGTTAAACTGATCACTGGTTCGGATATGAAGTCGCATCTATCAATGTCATATATCCTTGAACTGTATGGTCTCAATGATGCCATGCAGAAAGTTACAAATGTATAAAACGGATACTAGGCTGAAAAGGTTGTTTATTCTACAACATTTCCTATTAGTACTAGGGTAAGCAAATAATATTAAGAATCGATATTAATGAAGTATCACATATGAAACATGTTCAAGTGAATGAGAGCAATTCTGCCATTAAAACCTTCCTTATCAAATAACGATGCTCACATTACTCAAACAGGTGTCCTTAGGTACTGACTACTTAGTGTTTACTTACAAAATTGATTAGTTGATTTTCCCAACAAACGACAAGTGCATACGAATAGGTAACTTATTCGACCTCAGAAGTGAAATTCAACGTTGCCAATCGAAAGGTCTTGTGGCAGTAATTTTGCATGAGAATTTCTCACCATATTATCCACAGAAATAACAATTGATTCACACAACTGTGTAAATGTCTAACTAAAACTGTAACGTGAATTAATGGTAAGGATTGGTTTCTTTGAAGGATATTCACTGGATGTATATTAGTAAAGTTTATAACTGACGTCACTTTCCATTCCTGATAACACGTGGAAAAAAAGAAATAGGCATTTTGAGTCCCCGTATGTACACGAAAACTAGGGCATACAATACAAGAAACCACAATAAACCTGTCACTACGTAAAAGCACTTTCACCGGAATGAAACTAACCTCTACAGACAGATATATTGATCCATAAAAAGACAACGTTGTACACGACAGCTGTCGACTGAGCAGCTGAAATCAGTATTGAGTAAGGATTAAGAGCGTACCTGTGAGGAACAATAAGTTCAACAAAAGTCAAATTTAAGAACTTAAATATGGTATTACCTCTGAGTGAAGTATAAAACAGGACATAGGTGTGTTTCCTTTTCACCTAATCAAGGGAACTTTTGGTGGTATATAACGTCTATCTACTAACTAATCTTCCTAGCATAGTAGGATTTAAAAGAACGTGCGTTTTAACCAACACAACTTGATTGGGACATTGCAACACACAAACTGAAGTCGTTTTAAGCTAGACCACCATTGAAAACCTGGAAGCACAGGACGACTGCCTCGCCCCAGAATGAGACTTGAGCAGTGAGCACCCACGATCTCGCACCAAAGGGGCTCAAACCCATGGCCTTCACTCTCGCGCGCGAGCGCTTAACCTCTAGACTACTGAGCCGGCATCCAACAGTGTTAATGTCTAACTTCAATATATCCATGAAATGAAGTACAACAAGGAAGCAGCAAACATCACGTACTGACTCTATTTGCGAAACGCCTTGAGAATGATGACTGATACTTCCATAGCTTTAGACAAGGACTTGCTTATAAATATCAAGTCCCCAAAGTCTACTTACAGCCTTTTGGTATAGTGCAGTTTATCATGACATCGTTGACAACAATGCGCTCATGTTTCCCAGTCTACGTAAGGACCTACCAATCCAGTTTCCACAGCATACTATGGAGATCGAAGAAGCAGCATTATGTAATATTTACTGATGACATACTAGATTACCAAAACTGCTGCTGGTGACTACAGATGCCTTAGAAATATTGCTCGTATTTGCTGAGATCATCGGGTGAGTAATAGTGAAGTTAGATACAGGGCATTAGAGAAAGGTGGAAAATCAGTCGATAAGGTTGTAAATCCTCATCGACTGAGATGGTTGGGTCACGTGTTACGTATGTTTAACCACAGATTACCATGAAGCTAATACCGACTAGTGTTGAGGATGGATGGAAGAACGTTAGGGGCGGCCAAACCAAAATATGGCACCAGTCTGTAAAGTCGCTAACTCCCGGTCTGAGCCACGTTAGTATATGCGGACTACTTGGTTGGGGTCCGCGTGACTATCGTAACCAATGGTTGGATACTGTGTGATTGGAGTGGGTGGAGACTCTGGGTGACATGGCTCAGAATAGACCACAATGACGTAAGTGTAAACACTATCTATCTTCCCTTAAGCTATGAAACTAAAATTATTTCATATCTTTCTTTCTACGAACTAATTTTTTCTTTCTGTACTATATCCTTACATAAAATCTTTCCTTCATATATAACACCATTGAATTAACTGCTTATATGAATCCGGTGTTCGTCTTGCTAGGCTAATGAGGTGTGGCAAATTGGACCGATGCATGTGCCTGGTCCTACGTTGTAACTGACTGACTGACTGCTAGTGAAACTATAAATAAAAACCTCAAACTAAATTGATTTGAATTAAGATAGTGAGCAGTTTAATGTGGTCCATACTAGATTTGCTTTACGAACGACGAAACGTTCAGCCAGTTTTAAAAGCCAAGCCAGTATAAATGAGAAATATCGTTTTACTGAAAATTGGTAACAGCGGAAGAAAAGAGTAACTCACAATGACAATGATACGAAATAACATGAAAGAAACCCTTAACATTAAAACTCATAATACACCAATTTTTCTATAGGTTTCGATATGTATTAAGGCCAAGCACGCTTACCATATCACTGAAAGTGCTTGAAGCTTTCTGAAATCTATTTCTTTCAATAAGAGGTGCTTCGATGAATCATGTACAGAAGACTTGTAGCGATGTTGAATCGAGAGAAAATAATTAAACGCTGTTCCGCAAAATATGAACAAGGAAGTCAGCAAGATGAATTCAAGAGCCTAGAACAGTAAACAATCAACTCAACTACAAACCAAATGATAAGAAGTCCCATCTCCATCAGTCAGCTTTAATAAGTAAGACCACATTAATAGCAACAAAGGAGGCTATCAATCCAAATGTGATTTTAATCTATTCTAACCTGATGTACTACATCACCATCATACGCAGAAATCCCATGCTTTTGTAAATAAATCCCTTCACTAACTGTGCCAATTAAATACTTTATTCCGAACATACCAGAGTCCCACTGATCTAATGATGAATATGTAAGACTATCCAAAAAGTTTTTGGATGCATATGTCTTGACCAAATTCCTAAGGATTAGTCCAAAAACTACAGACAATAAACAATCCCAGGTCATTTGCGAAACCAGCTGTTAGGTCGCAAGTGAACTCAGGTGAAGAAGATAAACAACTCTAAAACTAACAGACTGTCGATGTTTTGTAGTACACACATGAATATACAAAAACAAATAGAAAACAGAGGAGACGTCTTTGATAAACGATCAGATGATATGCTGATTCACCAATAAAATTTGGCATGCGACTTGTAGTTTTGCTTGTGATGTGCTAGATTTCGGCTACCTTTACTGTACCAGAAGTCCGATTTAAGCTCATACTTAACTCTTTTTGCTCTATTTTGGTTTTTGAAGTGCTATTCATACATTTTTCTTCCTCAGTTTCTACTAGTTGAAGTTTTTCTGTTGGTGCGTATCTGAAATGTTCAAGTGGTTGTATGCTTCTGGACGAAATAGAAGAATCTTTCGCTTGACGCGCTTCCGTACCTAATGGCAGTGGTTTACCGATGCCTCCAGCTAGGAACCTAGATACTTAATAAGTGTAAAAAAAGACGATATCGGTAAATCGTAACGATATACCATCCTTAGTCCTTAAGAATATGTCACGTGTTACCTTAAAAGACTCTCGACAAGTCTCTTGGACAAGCTCAGCCGGCAGCGAATTCCAGCATTTGACTACTCTCAAGTGGTAGGAGATGTGTCTACAGTCCGTTCAGCTGTGTTGTCTCCAGTTTCTGGGTGTTACTGCTATGTTTTGTGATATGACTAAGCCTCAGAAGGTGACTAAGGGAATGCTCAGAGGTGCAATGGGTGTTGCAAGTCAGTAGAAGGTCAGCTCTAAGACGCCCGTATCCCAATGAGTGAAGATTCACTGATTGGAGGCGCTCTTCATAAGACTTGAATTTCAGTCCCCGAACTGATTTCGTGGCTTGCTAGTGGATATGCTGCAGAGTGTCTTTAATCTTTTTAAATGAGGGAATAACTACTATGTTTACGTACTCAAAATCGGGACGAATAAAACTGTTGAAGATTAAGTGGGAAGTTCTTCCTTTGAACTGGTAGAAAATACGTGTAGTGGTAAATAAATCCCCAAAATCAATAGCTTCGTAAGTCTTCAATAATGGATGCTGACCACATTAGTTTTAATGGAATCACCTAACTGAAGGCACTCGGTCATGCATCCACAGCAGATCACGAGTGGGAACGCCGTGCTCAACTTCCGTTGCAGTGGCTAGCCAGTTTGGGTCAGTCGAGCCTCGATATGTTGATAGCTTATCAAATAAATCTTTGAACCTCTTCGCTTCTGACCTTTGATTCCACTAGGTGGGCACGATTTGTAGCAGAAAGTGTTGCTGGTTAAAGCGTTATCGAACTCCAAATACTTTTAACATTTTCATGCAGGGTTATTTGGGAGGGCACTTTGCAGCTATTAATATAAGACTTCAGATCATAGGGTACCAACACTTCTACATCTTTTTCAGCTTGGGATGCCTTTACAATAGAGTTACTTAAGTTGTGGTTTTAATCTGTAACATGTCTCTGGTGGACTACTTAACTCTTCGAAGTGTTAAATGTAAGTCTGTTGTCATCTGCTCAACTTTGAGGTCGGGTCAGATTTACCTGTGTCACTTCTGTAAGTCCTGTATAGTTGCAAGTGAATCTTTCATCAGTAAAGTTGGTGTGTGTCGGTTGATGAGGTCGAGAGTACTGTTCTGCTAGAAGTTGAGCGGCATCACCTTTGTTGTTAGACGAACCAAAACTCTGGTTTCGGCTTGTTGAAAAGAATCTGAACGACCTATTAAGCTTTTCAGATTAGGGGCGAATTTATCGATAAGCTTTATCTTGTATCAACCCCTGCGTTCTTCTGTTCACTTTGTAAATTTGTTGAGTACTTGTTTGAATTGCCCAAATTCTCTGTTGTTTCCAGTTTTTTTGTACTCCGACCAGTAGTTCTTTTTGCGGCCAAGAAAACGTGGTGTGCGGTTTTCGATCACTATGAGTTTCTTGTAGATTTCGAAGACCCTTAGCGGAATAGACTGTTTTGTAGCACATAAGATCGTGTGCAGTAAGAAATTCCGATGAGTATTCACATCAAGCTGAGGGTAAACTTCATAGTCCACCTGCTGGAAATTATCCCGTAAAGCTGACGCATCCAACCGTTTGAAATCCCAGCACCTGTTGTCGATAGGATGAGCTAGCTCAATTTTGCTGATAAAACTGAGGGCTAAGACAGATTGATCGCTTTTCTTCAGGAGAGCCAGAATTAAGAGGTCGCCAATGAGGAATCCCTCGTTTGTTAATACACACCATACAGATTCACCAAGATTAATAAACACTTGGTTGTGCAGTTGATGAAACTACAGGTAATATCGCAACCACAAGGCCACTCCGCCCCACATTCCTGTTTGTCTGTCAATGCGAAACAAAGTCATCTCGAGTATTGCTAGCTTCTGCTTCGTAAATTGAGGAGAAACCTATATTTCAAATATTCCTATCAGATGAGTATTACCAGCTTCACTGGGTTCACGCAGCTCATGAATTTCGTTCTATAAACTCGAGGCGTTCATGTCCAAGAAGTTTACGCTTTCAGTTTAGAACGCATGGGTTTCCCCATCCTGTTTGTCTGTGTTAACCACATGTGAACGGGCAAGTGACCTTTATACACAGGGTTTTCCAACTATTTTACGTTTATTCCGTGGTCTTGGTAGTCCACAAGTGGAATAGTTAGCTCCAATTTGCTTTTGTGCTTGATCTTGGCAACATGTAGCCTATCCGGTTGCATGTGGATTCCGGTTGTCGATCGTTGTCTGTCGGCACGAAATGCTTCGAGAATCGCATATGGTACGCTGAGATATGGTACGATGGGATGGGAACGTAATACCCATCTTTATATTCATTAAGATTGTCGCCTCGTATTTGTCCCAGATTTGAGTATTCTAGTTTTTCCGTCGCTTGTTGATCAGACTACTACGGATAAAGTTATGTTATTGACACATTTTCATGGTTACCGTAGTAACGTTACGATTTTCGACATTTTGTGATTTTATGTCAGAAAGTTTTCTATCAACATCATACTGGTTATTAACGTCATTCAAAGTCCTCGACGTGGTCGATAATTTCACCATTCCCCTGTCGGAGATGGTTTACGGTGTGACAGGCGCAAGAGATGATTTCACAAATTGTATCCCAATCTGTCACCGATCGCGTACAAGCGTTGCTGTAGGTGGGCCCCACCACAGTTATGTGAAGAATGTTGCCTTACTATAGCTATTCTTCTAGACGAAAACCTAGAGCTTCTAAATCCGTTGAAGAAGATTCCGAGTGACAGTGCCCGCTCAGCATCAGTTGTCGACACACTCAAAGACGGTACAAGCTATATTCAAATCGCCGTCATGCACAATATCAATAAACTGCACACTTTCAGGACACAGCATACCATACGTCGAAAGTGCATTTATTCGTGACATTACCGACGAGCGAAATAAGAATATGAGATGTGATGAGAGCGAAACCGTCTCACAAGAAAAATTGAGTAGTATAAAAGTGTGGATTAGTCAGAAAGGTGAAACCAAAGGAACCTCTAGGGAAGTGCTTCGGGTAGTAAGTGAAGCCGAAACGCAATCGTGAGCAATGAACACGATTTTCAAAAAATGGAAATTTGTTCCTGGCTTGGTTATTTGGAATCAGGATAAGTCAAAATAGAATGACACTGCTACACGGCATGCATGCAGTCTAGAGTTGGTGGAATCTTCTTCCATAAAATTACCACAAGAAGAGGGTTCAGGCAAACACAACACTAAGCTAACAAGACTCGATAAGAAGTCTATGGATGATGTTTAGTTGAAAAAGATTTTTAAGTAAATACTCGGAAGTTAAGAGGAAACGTTTTTGTGCTGAATAATGCATTCTAAAGTCATAGTTCGAATATTTGTATTCGACCAGATTTGTCACCTGAGGGTCAATTCCGTTATTTCTTAACTTACGTTTACTTACTTACCCCTGTTACTCTCAATAGAGCATAGGCCGACGACCAGCATTCTCCAAACCAATCTACCCTGAGCCTTCCTTTCTATCTCTATCCAGTTCTTGTTCATCCTTCTCATATGTGTCCCTATTTCTCAGCATTATGTGTTATTCGGTCTCCCTCTTTTTGCGACGACAACTGTTTGTAAACGCTTGTATATCTTGGATGAAAGTTGTGATAGTTCTGCAAGTTTTCGCCCCATACAATAGAACTTTCTTGACATTTGTATTGAAAATTCTCACCTTGTTGTTAGTTGACAGTTGTTTTGAGTTTCAGATGGTCTTCAATTGAAGATATACTGCTCTTGTTTTGCAGATCCGTGCCTTTACCTGTGCATCAGATCCATCGTGCTCATCAATGATGCTGCCCAGATATGTGAAGTTTTTTACATCCTCCAAGTCTTCTCTGTCAATTGTGATTGGATTGTTGCATGTCGTGTTTTATCGGATAATCTTTCCAATCAAAACGCCGACTTATACGACCACTGCACTATGCCAAATAAATGAAGCGCCAAGCAGTAAAAGCAGCTTAAGATCGACTTCTAGTCCATATTCATTCTCGGCCTGTAACTCGCTAAAAAACCCTAACCAGAAACAAATAATCCAAACCATTTAAACTCTATCCTGGGATTTGGAAGGTCTTCATTTAGAAGAGTTATAACTCCTCTTAGTGAAAGCCGAGTTCATTCGGAATTCACGAGTTCGGTGCCGCTTCTAACAACCATAGATACAATTTTTATATGTACATGGGAACTCCGGACAATGTGTGAGGCTGGGAAGACCAGTGAGATAGGAACAGAAATGAGGAGATACAACATGGCAGTGTTCGGAATCGGTGAAACCCATTGGACTTAAGCTAAACAGCAAAGACTAGATACCAAAGAGATGCTTCTGTACTACGATCACGAAGAGAAAAATGCTTCACACACTCCAGGAGTTGTTCTAATGCTGTCTAAAGAAGCAAGAAGTGCATTTGCATGATGAGAATCTCATGAACCGAGAATCATCAAAGCATCCTTCAAAACAAAGAAAAAGTGATGACAATGAATGTTATTCAATATTATGCAGCTTCAGATCA